AAGGAGAAAAGTTAAGGAGAGGATCCTGATTCAGAAATAGGAAACAATCTTTGAAAGAGCAAATGAAAGTGGCTAAAAAGATGGGAACACGTGGACTTAAATGGGTAAATAAACTGTCTGCCTATAACAGTTGTTAAGCAATTGAAATCGTGGATAAAAGCTTATAAATATCAAGGAGGAAGCAAAGAAGGATATCAATCAAATCCAACAATTTTACATGAGTTTAATTCAGCTCCGCTACGTAGCTCGAAAACGAGCCCCCCGAATCCCCCGAAATTGATAAAGGTGAGTTTTGAATGTTTGGCCCAGTTGACACCACGTGCGAAATAGAAAAAGAAAAGAGAGGAGAGGAGAGAGAGAGGAGCTCGTCAAAGAAGAATAGGTGAAAGCGACCACCGCTGAGATCGACCGATGCTGACCATCGACTTGGGTGACCACCGACAACTAGCGAAAAACTCTGCCGAGCGTCAGTCACTGTGCTGTCTGTCAATCTCTGCTGGTGCATATTTTTTTCAGTTTTTTTTTTCTTATAATTTTTTTTTTTTTGTTAAGCTTGAATGTGGGGATTTTTCAGTTTGTATACTGCTTGTGGTATATATATATGTAAAATGTAATGTAGTGGACAGTGGGGAAAATAATTTTTGTTCTTGTTCCTGACAGTGGGGAAATGTGAATCTATGTTTGTTCTTGTTGATGAAATGAAATTAGAAACACAACTTTTAGTTCTTGACAGTGGGGAAAATAATTTTAATTTTAGTCACAACTTTTTTATTTTGAAAACTCAATTATTTTCTGTATTCCATCTTTTTTTGATTTTGTGTTTTCAATCTTCATAACCATGGGGTTCAGCTAATTAATCAACATAAACAGAGGAAGTCCCGAAAAGCATGTCTTAGATTAAACAGTATGTGTATTTTACAGTGCTTCTAAAGTATACGCAAATTTATTGTCTATGTTCCAATTATCTGCTCTAACCCAATGATAACTAACATACTAGTGCAAACATATGGATAGCACTTTATTGTTCCATGTTTTCTAGACTTCTATGCACAGCACTTTGCAATAATCAAAATAAAATTGCTATCTGTGTGATGTATATGTGTGTTTTGGGATGTGTCTATAGCTGAATTTGTGTGATGCATACAAACTGTTTCACACTTTGCTTTTGAGTTTGAAGGTACAATGGACATTGATTCAAACCATCCTACATTGAGTGGGGGTGAGGAAGTTGAGGAACCAGAGAACAATCCTTCATTAAATGAGAGTGGCGAAATTGAAGAACCTAAGAAGGGGATGTGCTTTACCTCAAAGCAAGAAGTGCACGAGTTTTATGCAAAATATGCGAAAAACCTTGGATTTGCTTATGACAACCCTCACCTCTGATTAGCATTAATTCATGATAAGTAATTGATTAAGATGAAATCCTAAATTGATTACATGAGTGTGTTGTTTTAATTGTATTTCTATCTATTTGGTATTGAATGATTTGTTTATGTTTTAATTTCGAATTGCGAATGGAAAGCCTTATCGACGACCGATTCAGAAATTGATTAGTGTTATATGCTAATTAGGATTTATATGATTTTATGGTAGGTCTAATTAAAATTCAATTTGGAATGATTAAATTGGAATAAATAATGCTAAATTAATTGAATATAGGTTATTCACATGTTTGCCATTGAGTGGGTTAGTGCAAGATCAACTCTTTTGTTTTACACTCCATATATGTTTGTTACATCATCTTTGGCCTCCTCCTTGCCCAAACCATGAGAGAGAGGGAGAATAGGGGAAAATTGATTCAACAAGTGTATTGCTTGATTTTGAGAGGGAATTGAAGGAGTTTTAGAGATTAGTTCATCTAGCTCAAGATTTTAGTGTCTTAAGCCAATTGAACATTTAAGGTAAGGAAACCAAGTCCCTAGTCTTGAATTTAAGTTGAATCACCTATGATTCTAAGTGAATTGAATCATGAGATATGAGATTTAAGCTTAAGAACATCAATTCATGCATGCATGTCCATATCATTCAATTTTGAGATCATTTTCATGAAAATTTCCACATGCATATCCATATTATGGTTGTACTCTAGAAATTCATCATGTTTTTGAAAAGAATGTCTCTTGGGATCATGCATTAGAAGCTATGAATTCAAATAAATGCATGCATGGCATATTTACATCATGTTCTTGAATTTTGGGTTGAATTTGTGTTCAATTGGCATACTTTGGGGCCTTGATTTTATGAAATAGTGTTTAAATCATGTGGTATTATGAGTTTCCAGGTATTTTCTAGAAAATTGGCCTAAAAGATTGAGTTTTGGCACGTTGGATTCATGGTTTGAGCTTTGGGAGCAAATTTGGAAAATCCAGAATTTGGCTTCCTCGCTCGAGCGAGAAATTCCACGCTCGAGCGACCACCTTTGTTTTCAGACTCTCGCTCGAGCGAGGGAATACTAGCTCGAGCGTAAGTTACAAGCTCTCAAGTTTGTACGTGTGCAGACGTATGCTTGAGCGACGAGACCTACGCTCGAGCGAAGAGCTGTGTTTCACGCTCGAGCGAGCATCGAGCGGAAAATTTCAGCAACCAGTACTTTTCACATTTTTGCAGATCGCTCGAGCGAAGGAGTTTACGCTCGAGCGACCTCTCCCATTTGGTAAGCTCGCTCGAGCGAAGGAGTCTACGCTCGAGCGAGACCCCTGTTTTCAACAAATTTTGAAAAGTGTTCTAAAGTACATTTTCGCATTCTCATTCCATCCTAGGCATTCCTAGGCCATGTTTAAAGCATCTTAATTGAGGATATTGATATAGAACCACACCAAATCAAGTTAGGGGCTAAGTTATTAATCCCAAGTGTATAATTTAGTGTGTGTTCGTTCTGCATCTGTATAGGGTTGGCACCCGAGGACGCTAATTAGCCTGCCTATAGCCCAGTAATCTATGAGTAACAATGTTGTAAAGATATGTTCAATCGTATTTATTTTTAGATTGATAAATCATATTGCTTTCTGAAATGATACTTCTTATCGATTGAATGATGATCCTATTTTTTGAACTGTATTCATGGCATCCACAGCATATTGTTATTGTTATTAATATTGTTATTGTTATTGATACAAAGATCTCTGTCAGTTCCGAATCTTGGAAATATTGTTATTGTATGATGGCCATCAATTGATTGTTCGGTCTTTTAAGACCTAATGTATTGTTGCTATTGGATGTACCATGTATGACTTATGAATATGATGGATCGACTTGATCGAATTGAATGATTGATTGACAAATGATATTGGTTGAAAATGTTTTAGTGCTAATCGATTGTTTTAAAGGCTGTAAAGACATCATTCTTAACCTCTTTACACATCTATTATTCATTGGGCTTTAGCTCACTGTTTATATTTATATGTAGGTGGCTAGGCACCGGACCAAAACTAGAAGCGTCGAGTTAAGCTCATGTTTTGTCCAGCCAACCGTTGTGCCTCACTTCGAGGTTCTGAGTCTACTTGAGCCAAGGTTGTTTTTGGGGTGCTTCAGATTTACCCTTTTTGTCTCTGTTAATGTAAAGCATGTTTAAGGCTTCGAATGTACAGCTATGATGAGGGGATTAGGTCCCCAACCTGTATGCTACTGTGTACATATATGTATATGGCTATGAATGTGGTAATGTTTATAAAAGTCATTTTCTATTCAGGTTTTCACAGCTCATTGGACATCTTTTTATTACTGATTGGCTTTCGCCAGCCCCTTACTCTGTACTATTGTCATTATTGTCAAACAGGCCTTTCGTAATCGCGGATTACTAGCCGGTTATGATCCTAAACCTATAGGGGCGGGTTCGGGTCGTAACATTGCTATAGCTTATAGAACACAGTGTGAAATCCCGTATTTTGATATAATAAAAATAATATATTTTTTAATTTTCTTAAATAATTATTCATAATATTTTGAATTTAATAGTCTGTATATTTTTATACTGAAAATTTATTCAAAATAAAATAAAATAAAATATTTTTGACTTTATATTATTACTCAATATTAATTTCTGAACCGTATGATATTTTTATTATATTTTTCTCTATATTTTTTTTGGTAATCAAATTACACTGAAACCTTATATTTGCTGTACTAAAACCCAATCAAAAACCATGGGTTTGCTACCCCAGGTTTTCTTACATTCCACCTTCAACGTGGTGAACATGCTGACCAAGTGTTCAATTTCTTCTTTTTTTTTATTTCTTTTCATTTTCTTTTATCTTCTTTTACTCTTCCTCATTTTGCTTCTCTTCCAATTGCATAGCTCCCTCTCTCTATCCGTTTCATCTCTCTCTCTCTCCCTCCATCTCTCATTCTCAAAACTCTCTTTCTCCTTCTTTATCTATGTTTTTCCTCCTCCCCCAACCTCCATAGCCATGGCCTCAACCCATACTATCATCATCCGAAACACCAACCCGCGAACTTCACCCCCATTGGCGCACCGTCGGACTGCCACCACCACCACCATCACCTATTTCCATTATCATCTAGAACCACCATTCACAAAGTGTTGTAGGTGAAGAAAGAGAAAAAGAAGGAAGATGGAGGAGAAAGAAACAAAGTTAGAGAAGTTTACTTTGAATTTCAAAAGTTGGTTTTCGGCTTACTTTCGGCATGCCAAAACCATCCATTATGGGAAGAAGTGAGACAAATAGGCCATGTAAGATGAAGTACGAAGTAAGTTGAAGAGATTGGCGAAATAATGAAGTAAAACCGTTAAGAATTAAGAAAGTTATGGGGTTCGAAAAAAATGTCCGAGACGGTAGGAAAATAATCTTATTTTTGGTCAAATTTTGGAGATCCGACGGCATGAAAAAAGAGACGGAACGAGGCGTGTGAGTAGTGAACAAAGATGGTTCGAAAAAAATGTCCGAGACGGTAGGAAAATAATCTTATTTTTGGTCAAATTTTGGAGATCTGACGGCATGCAAAAAGAGACGGAACGAGGCGTGTGAGTAGTGAACCAAGCATTTGAACTGGTGACATTGAAACTAAATTTCTAGGTCTCTCTGTCGTACATGCTACGGCTTGGAGAAGATGAGCTTAAATTTTATCCAGTGTTTCTCGGCCCATGGTGCTACGGTGCACCCTAGTACCTTTAGGTTAATCGAGTGGTCCTATGACTTTGGGGATGACCACCCTTAGGTTTTTCGACGTGTAGAATCCATTTTTGGGGTTAGATCTTCCAAATTCTGAGTCTAAGATGATGATCAACAACTAAAAGTTCTAAGAGAATCCAATGGCAGATCAACGGTGAGATCGCGTCCGATTGATGTGAAATTTCAGCAAGACGATCATGGAGCCAAGACGATCATATCTTACGATCAGAATCATAAATCAGATTCGGACGATAAATCGTTAGCAACCTAACATAGTAAGAAAACTCTCATAACCGTCTCATTCTTTTTAATTGTTAAATTTTTAGATTTGTGTTCATATGTTAACATAGCTAAAACTTTAGATAAAATTTTGTTTATAGTTGTATGTAAATTTGTGATTGGTATATTAAATATTTGAAGGTAATTTCTTTATTAGTGGCCTTAAAATCATGATATAATCTTGGATTTAGACTTGCATGTGTAATTTGTGCCATTAAGAGATGATTAAAGATTTTATTTGGTTTGATTATATAACTCTTCAATCTTCCAAAAACTTATACGATTTTTAGACAATTTTATGCTCAAATTTTGAAATAATTTCTTCTACAAAGTTGTTGAGAATGATGTCTAGTTCATCCAGGAATTTTCTTAACAATTATTGAGCTTGGTACGAATTTATACAAATTTATAATTAAATCTGCTATTGTAAGACAGATTTTAGTATATGTTTAAAAGCTTATTAAAAATTCTATATTAAGCCAAATCTGGTAATTTCTAACTAAAATATGAAATTTGAGAAGTCTAATTTATAACTAAATTTTAGATTGTGGATCTGATTTATAAATTTAAGTATGGAATTAATTTAAGAAAATGTGATAAATCGGTGTCAATAAAATTTCTGAGAATTTTACAGAATTATTTATAACTTATTTTTGGGAATTTATTTCTAAAAATGACCCAAACATATTTATTGAATATTCTGTACACTTTCATGAATTTTAGAACTGTATAAATAATTTATTTATAATTTTATTACCTAAGGTATAACCTGAAAATTTTAGACAGGTTTAAGATCATGACTTCAATTATTTATTCGGATAAAAAATTAGTTATTGTGTTGGTCCAATTCATCAAATATAGTAAATTAGTAATCCATGTATGGGTGCATTGTGGTTTATTTAATATTGTGTAGTCTAATCTTGTAGATTAAAAATCCATGCACGTGTGTGACTTTGGTTATTTTTCTCTGTATCTAAATTATTATTTCATACCATGGTTTAAATAAATTGTTTAATTTAAATGTTGTACATTTATTTATTATTGTGTGACATGATAATATTTTATGTTGGGAATTTTAATGAGTTGGTATAACATCAATTGTGATTAAAATTTAAAATTATTTGTGAGTACTATCAAAATTAACTGAAATGATTAATGGCATATACAAAGTTAACAATTGACGGTTAATACCAGTTTTTAGAGTGAGTCTTGGTTTTAAAGAGTGTATGAAATCAAGGGATTGACGGTTAATACCGGTTGTTCAGGGTGAGCCCTGGTTTTGAGAATTCTCACGTAAATTGTGTTGCGAAACTCTAAGATGGCACGGGACTTATTTGAACCCTTTTCGGTATTTGGTTTTGGAATAAGGGTGGATGTGCTGGTGGCACACAGGGAGGTTACGTACCCCTGGCAGACCGTTTCCTTGGGGCAGACCACGGATGCCACTACTTGGGTATATCACTCCGGACGTGGGCATCCCTGGTAGTTACGGTTGGTAACACTTGAATATTTGACCAAGGGAGGGTTTCAAATTAACCGTTGCCATGCTTAGTGGTTGGTAAGTTAAATCTCTTTGGTGAGATTTCGAGTGTCACCTAATTTATTAAAATTATTTTAATGGTTGTAATTTATGCTTACAATTATATTGTTACCTCGTGTTTATAATCTCATTATTTTTCTCTTAAAAAGAATGGTAGGTTGGTTATGTTTTCTTACTGTGTTGCAAAACTCATGGCATATATTTTTGTTGCCCTGGCGTTTTATGCCAGGTCTTGGCGAGAAAATAATTGAAGCTGAAATGGAGTCGACGCTAACGTAGAGCTTTGGCTGACCTGAAACCCCGAGTAGAGCCGAATAAATTATATTATTTTATATAATAGCTATTAAGGACTTTATAATTTCATTTAATGTTGTATTTGGATAATTTTAAGTTTTTATCTATTGTTATTTGGACGTTTGGTTATGTACGAGAGTTGGATTACCCTGTTAAGATGTCAACTTTTTTTAGTTTATTAAGTCATTTTGTTTATATAATTTCCCTTAATATTTAAAAAAAAAAAATTGGGGCGTCACACACAGAATGTTGCAGATGACGGAAAGGTGAAATACTTTGGAATTGAATGTACTCGGGCACAGAAGAGGACAAAAAGATCAGAAGTAAACCCCCTGAAACCATCTTTGTCATCAAAAATTGATTGTAAAGCGAAGGTAAGAACGACTTTACAAAATGATGGAAGATATAAGTTAACTACGATTGTGCTTGAGCATACGCATGACTTGATTCCTAGTGATTCACGACATTTTCCAATGAATAAAAGAATTATTACTCCTATGAAGAGAATATTAGAAATAAATGATGAAGCAGGAATAGGGGTGCCTAGGAATTTTCATTCTATAGTTGTTAAAGCAGGGGGATATGAGGCATTAACATTTGATGAATGAGATGCAAGGAACCAGATTGAAAATGCTAGAAGATTGAGGCTTGGGGTAGGAGACGCCGAATCAATTGCATTTTATTTTCATATGATGCAACAAGAAGATTCAAACTTCTATTCTGCAATTGACTTTTATGTAGATGGACGCATACGGAACTTGTTTTGGGCAGATGCAAGGAGTACGGCGGCTTATAAAGCATTTGGGGATGTTGTCTCATTTGACACCACCTACCTCACAAACAAATATGATATGCCATTTGCTCCATTTGTAGGAGTTATCACCATGGACAGTCAATCTTGTTTGGTTATGGGTTATTATGTAATGAGAACACGGAGACATTTGTTTGGCTATTCAAAGAATGGTTAAATTGCATGTCAGCCACTCCTCCAAAAGCTATTATAATTGACCAGTGTAGAGCCATGCAAAATGCCATAGAAATTGTCTTCACACAGGCTCGACATCGTTGGTGTTTATGGCATATAATGAAGAAATTGAGCAGATATTCCCAATATGAAGCCATCAAATTCGCTTTACAAAATGCAGTGTCTGATTCTTTCAGAAAAGATGAATTTGATGAGGAATGGCAAATGATGATTGAAAAGTTTAGCCTCCATGACAACGAGTGGTTGGGGGTATTATATGGTGAGCGACATAGGTGGATTCTTGCCTATGTGAAAGATATATTTTGGGCTGGCATGTCAACTACACAATGAAGTGAGAGCATGAATGCATTTTTTGATGGCTATGTAAACTCAAAGACTACTTTAAAGCAATTTGTTGAACAGTACGACAATGCATTGAGAAGTAAGGTGGAGAAGGAGACCAAAGCAAACTTCAAATCTCGAAACAAATTGTATGATTACTTAACGGTGTATGAGTTTGAGAAGCAATTTCGTGCAGCCTACACAAATGCAAAATTTAAAGAAGTTCAAGTAGAATTGAAGCGCCTACTGTATTGTCATGCAACTCTTGTGAAGGAGAAGAGATCCATTTGTACTTATCATGTCAAGGAAGTTGTGCTTGTGGGTGAGAAAATGAAGAAAGTTGAATTTATTGTTTACTTTAATTCAATTGAATTTGAAATGCAATGTGTGTGTCAGTGGTTTGAGTTTAGGGGGATCATGTGTGCCCATTCCCTTAGTGTGCTCATTGAGAGGTGCATATATGAGGTTCCAGATAAATACATTATGCCGAGATCGAGAAAAGATTTGGAAAGAAGGTACACATGTATTCCAACGACATACACGAAATCCGGGGCTGTCCTCAATGCAAAGGTACATGATAACTACCACAAGACATTGGATGAAATTATAGAAATTGCTTCCAACGATGATGGTAAACACAAAGCCATTCAACTTGGGTTGAGAGAAATCAAGGAAAGAGTAAGAAAAGATGAATCTGGTTGTACGAGTAATGTGTCACCTTCTAGTAGTACTGTCCCACCTTGTAGTAGTAATGTGCCACCTTCTAGTGCTACTCACAAGGTTCTTAGTCCTTTGGTTGCTCGCCGAAGAGGCCGTCCATGTACGAAACGGAAAGTAAGCAAGGTGGACGAAATAGTGAATTGATTGAAGGGAAAGAATAAAAAGGCACCAAAAGTCCAGGTATATTTTTTATTTTCTGCTTGTATGTAAATTTCAGAATTTATTTTTGTCAAACTTTTTCACCGATGTGTGTTACTATAGGGTCGTAAGATGGGTCAATGTGAACCTCGTAAGTTGAATTTCGGTTGTACGGACGGCATGGAAGACAATACGTACGATCGGGTATGTGTTTCATGGTCCACTACTATTTTTTGTATGGTATTTATTTCAATGTTTGAACTTATTAATGATATTTTGTTATTATGTATCATAAGGTGCCGCAAGCTCAATCCTACTATTTTCCTTGTATGGATGGGACACAAGAGAGCGCATTGCAAATGGTGGACAAAATTGGAAGCTCATCGTTCAGTGAATCAGGAATGGCGAATATAGATGGTTCAACTTTTGTGGACTTGAATATAGATGTGGATCCAAACGCTCCATTTTTTTTTTAGTTTCGTATTATGGTATTTATCACTTTTGTTTGTAAACTTTGGATAGTTACTTTTGTGGACTTCACAAGTAATTGTGAATAGCTATTATTAGACCAAATAAATGTTGTTTTAGCATTGTATAACCCCACCTAATGAGGGAACTGGAGGGAGATTTTATCACAAACTTCATATGGAAAAACTAACAAAAATTAATACCATGTGTGCATCATTCCCATAAAGCAGGCAATAATGTTTTGTGTGTTAAAGAACACAAGAAGCTAGAGATAATTATGCAATGTATTCCCATAATGATCATGTCTACATTAACTGCTTCTTGAACAACACACAACAGTTCCACATACAAATTTGTTACTTTCCATATCTTTCTTGTCAAACAATGCACACACACATATTACATTAAGCAGGAACAAGCACCAAATGTCATCATATTTTTGTTTTAAGTAAGAGAGTAAACAAACTGCAAAATAATCATTATGAATCCACTAAATCCAATCCAATGATTATATAACATCAAACAAGATCCAAAGCCAAAAGTGAAGTATATACCAACAAATGACACAACCTATCAACAATAATTGAAAACATAACAGGTTTTTCATTACCCACATTGAATAAAGCACAACACATACCCACAATCCATCAAGTCCATTCAATCCATAACTACATCCATCAAATTTCCCAAAAGCTATTAACTCAGTAATTTACATTATAAAATAGAAAACAATACAAAATACAATGACATAAAGCATCACATTCAATTTCATCTCTACCCTTCGAAGCCTTCTACCATGCTCCTGAAATTCATTATCCATCTCATAAACCCTTGGACTTAAATCATTAAATTCTTCGCTTCTTATAGATTTACGAGGTGTAGCATTGGAGATCACGTCGTCATCATTATCATCTGCGAGCTTGAAGTAATTGCAATGTTCCTCACTAATCTACAATGTATGACAATCAGTTAATCAAATCAGGCTAATAAATTTCCAAACAAATTTCCATACTACTTACATATTTCGATGGACACACAAAGTACACACGCCCTTTATTTCCATTTTGATTGGTTCGGACAATGTGCATGACAGCTGTTCTCCCACAATCGCACAATCTTGGTTTCAATCTTATGTTGCTATTGTTACTAGAGGAACAAGCCATTTTGTAATCTGCATACAAAATGGAAAACACAAACATGATACATACATAGCTATGTCCAAAATTTATATTTAGTTTTCCAAAATTCCAAGTTCTAATATGAGACCTTAACTGCTATGTCCAAACCTCAAAATCAACATTTCCAATCCAAAGAAAAACCCATATGAATTGAATTCAATCCAAAGAAAAGAAAGTTTTAAAACAACTATTTCCAAAGGCAACCCTCTAGAATTTCCAGCTATTTCCTAGATTGAAGTAATCTACACGAAAGTTTTAAAACAACTCACCTTACTAAAATATCAAAGGTGCTTTGACCCGCGCCTAAGAAACGAAGTTTTGCTTAAATTGAAGTGATGAGATTGCAAAGAGAGGGATGTAAGGCTCTATTGACTAAATGTTGATTCGTCGTTTCCTTTAGAATGAAAATAGTTACAAAATTGGGTTTGGGGGATTGTTGCATGGCCTATTGGGCTCATTCTAGAGCAGAAAACCTATATATATATTCTATTTAATGCATTTCTTACCAAATATCAAAAAATGCATTTAAAAAAAAAAAAAAACTAAGATCTGAGCAGAATATTGCACTAGCTCCCTCTTATGGCCTCCCAACTCATGATGGAAATTGATAGACCTCACACTGTGCAGGTGTTGCATGGCCTATTGGGCTCATTCTAGAGCAAAAAACCTATATATATTCTATTTAATGCATTTCTTACCAAATATCAAAAAATGCATTTAAAAAAAAAAACACTAAGATCTAAGCAGAATATTACACTAGATCCCTCTTATGGCCTCCCAACTCGTGAATTGATAGACCTCACACTGTGCAGGACTTATCAACAACAATTATTTACACATCAGCCCCAACAACACCTTCTCAAGAACCCAAGTCACTAGCTTAAAAGAGGCCATTATCTACTACAATCCGATCAACTTTTTTATTAATAGTAATATAACCAAAAGAGCTGAATAACCATCTAATTCCCAATAATATTATTTAACCATAATCCAATCAAAATCAACACAACAATCAAAAATTGAAGGTAAAACCCATAATGCCCAAACCCTAACAAACAATCATTAATTGATAAGATTTTGTTTCATGTTCTACAAATTCAACCCAAAACCAAAACCCTAACACAAATTGCAAGAAAAATCCAAACATATAAACACAAACCCTAGTTTTTTTGCGATTGTGGGTTTACCTTTTGTTGTGGTACCTTTTTTTCTGCTACTCGACCCCGCCTCCACACTCGTAGCTGAAGATCTGTTATGCGAGTCCACACTCATAGCTGATGAGAGGATTTGCAAGAGATTAAGGGCTCGAGGAGTGAGTGAGTAAAGAGAGATGAGAGGATTTGGAAGAGTAAGGGCTTGAGGAGAGAGTGAGTAAAGAGAGATGAGAGAATTTGGAAGAGATTAAGGGCTCCGATGGAGTCGACTCTGAGGAGAGAGTGAGTAGCGAGCAGCGAGAGATGGTTTTGGAGTCTGATGAGAAGTGAAAGGGAAAGTTTTTGAAACGACGTCGTTTCAAAAATTCGGGCCATTCGGGGGGGAAACATTTTCGAGCTGCAAAACATTTTTGAGTTTAATTAGGGGTCAATAACTTCTAGTTTTTGGTTCTTTTGTATTTTTATTTTGTTTTTATTCAAATCTCAGTAACAAGTAATAATTTTTTACAATACAATATTAATTTTTAGTTTGTTCCTCTCTGTTGATAATCTTCAAAGAAGTTTTTCAATCTATCAAGATATAAGACACCAACCACAATTGCCTGATCTGCTTGTTATTTATGAAATTTTGATTATCCTATCGAATCCATTCCGTCGATTTGACCGAAACCAAATTTTGCCAACAGTATAAGAGAAAAAGTGATTAAGAAAAGCAGAGGAGAGAGAAAAAACAAATTGGTTGATGTGTTGTAGAAAATAAGTGATTTTAGAATTATTTTTTTTTCCTAAGTAATTGCTAAATAATCTGTTATGTTTTAAATATATATGAGCGATCCAAAAAATATACGTAAATAATAAATAAAATGTGAATAAATAAAAAACAAATATAATAAATATGAAACGTTTTAAATGTACATACATTGAGTGGATATATATCAGAAAAGCAGTTTTAAAATTTTAAAAATCTTCTTACGAACTAATATATGTCCTATAGATTATATTAGATCTATTTACAGAGTATATTTAGATTATGTATTTAAAAGAAGTAAACAAAATAAAAATAAAAATATATAATGATAACAAAAATATAATAAAATTAATATTGTAAAAAATTTTGACTACAAGACAAAAAAAAAAAAAAGACCCAAAAAATTGTAATTAAAAACTAGTTTTGAAAATTCCTAACCAAACAAGTTTTTATTTTGTAATTTTTTAAAAATTATTTTCAAAATATGCAACTCAAAAATTAGTTTCAAAACTCATAACTAGGACTGGGCATAGAGTTGTCCGAACCACCCAACCCGCCCAACCAGAACCGATCCGCATACAAATGGAAAGTTTCCTAGACACAATGCGTGCGGATACGGTTTGGAATATGGCATGAATTGCGGGTTTCGAATGGGTTATGGGTTTAACTCGCATCCGCAATAACCCACCCGCGCCTACATTTATTTATTTTTTACTTGGACCGTTGTTATTTTATTATTTTATTTTTGATGAATGTAAAAGTTAATGAATAATTACTTTTAGGTAAACTTAGAATTTTGATTGATTTTACTTTAATTGTATTGTTAGGTAGTAGATAGTGAATGGGATTGATAATTTAGTTTAGGTTTTTGAAAGATGTACTTGTGTTAATTTATGATTTGATTTAAAAGTTAGGATTTTGAATGATTTGTTTGTATTAGGAATTGATTTTATTGTGTTTTTAATTTTATAAGTTTTAATTCATTAATTATAAATGTTTAAGCATTTTAGAAAATGGGAGAAAAGGGCCAAAAATAAATATTTACAAAATAGGAAAAAAAGGCTCTAAAATAATTTTTCAAAGAAAAATGTCTAATCCGCAAACCGCCTGTACATCCGCAAACCTATCCACATAAACCGCAACCTGTACTATGGGCGGTTACGGGTTGAATTTTTCCCAAACTGCATATATGCGAGAATGACCAAATCGATCCGCAAATCATCCAAAACTGAACTGCGACCACCCTTACTCATAACTAAACATGTTTTAAAATTTTAAAACTCTTTTAAAAAACTTATCTTCAAACATGAATTTTAAAGGGGCAATTTTTAATAAATCCCTTTTTACCTACTTATGTTTCATTTAGTCCACATTATTTTCTTATGTTCTAATAAGTCCTATGAGTGACATAGTTACCAAAATAGCCTTAATAATATTCACATTTACAGTGTGAATGTTCACACCATTAATGCGAATATTAACATGTCAATGTGAATATTCACACGTCAATGAAAATATTCACATTGTAAAATATGAATGTTCAAATCATCAAATTACTAACCATTCAAAACATATTTGTAAAGGTATAAATATCCATAAAATACCTTAAATATGAGAATTAGGATTTGGTATATCAAATATCCCAATAATAAGACTTATTAGAATATAAGAATACCTTATGGACTAATTAAAATACAAACATTTGAAAGAGGATTTTCTAATAAATTTTTCAATTTTAAAACTAAACCAAACGGAGCCAGGATATGCTAACATAAATTTTTATAATAATATTTTAAAAAATATTAATTATTTTGACAAATATTCTGTATTTTTTGTTGACTTATTTTTACTTTATTTTTTTAAAATTTTAGATTTATAAATTTTACTTGACAAGACAAATCAAAAAAATTTAAAATTGTAATAGACTCTTTTTGACTTATTTTAACTTTTTAAAATTTGTTTTGAAATTAACATATATTTATTTTTTAAAATTTATTAGATGAATCGAAAAAATAAAAAAATTAACATAATTAAAAAGTTAAATACAATATATAGTTGGTGGGGGAGTTTGAAAAAGAAAAAAACAAAATTTCTTTTTAAACCTCTCAACTAAGGGTGTGTAATAATGGCCTGGCCCGGTTCATTCGGGCTTTGTGGGCTCGCGATTTTTTAGCGGCCCGGCCTGGGCCGGCCCATGGGCTAAAATGTGGGGCCCAGGCCCAAACCCACTCATAATAGGGCTGGGCCTAGTGCCGCGGGTCGGGCCTAGTCAGGCTTTTTTTTTTAAATAATAGAAATAAAAAAAAAAATTAAAAAAATTATATTAAAGTATTTTAATTACGATTAATGAGATATTTTGTTTGATTATGTAATGTTTTATAGTGATATTTAAATTTAATTATATATGACTTATGTTTTTTTAATTGTGAACTTATAACTAAAAAAGTATGCAATTATGTAATTTTTTTTCTTTCGAAATGAATAATTTTATATATATGAAATTGAAACTTTCAATATTACAATATTAAATTATTTATATAACATTTATTGAATGAATAATTTTAATTTCAAAATGAAATAAAATATTACAAAAATTGGTATTATTAAATAAATTAGGTGTAGATTACTAATGATGGTATAACAATTGCATCACTATAGATCAAGTACATCCCAACTAGGTTGGCACCTACTAGCTTATCAATCATTTGCATTATACTCCACCTCAATAATCTAATACAAAAAAAAAAAAGTGCAAAAACCAAGAAAAAAACGAAATGAAATGAAATAGTAAAAAATAAATTATTGATCAATTATCAGAGAAGACAGACATTTCAGTCGCGTTGCTCGATGATATGTCATCCAAATCATATTGAATTCGCTCTTTTTCACTAAAATTTTGTCTTCTTGTAAGCGCGTGCATATGATCCCTGGATATCATCAATGCCTCAACCATTTCGGGTGAAAGCTTGCTCCTGTAGTCATTCAGCACCCGTCCACCTACACTAAAAGTTGTTTTTGAAGCAACTGTAAAAATAGGAACGGTTAGTATATCACGGGCCATCTGTGAAATCACAGTCCATATAGATTCATTTTGTTTCCACCATTCTAAAATGTCAAAATTATCGGAATCATCCACTGACGGGCTTTCCAAATAACGTTGTAGTTCAGAACTACTTACACTTGTATGTTAAGATATTCTTCTACTTTTTATTGCTGTGAAAATACTTAATCTCCTGCCTCGAGATTGTTGGACTGCTAGTGTAGTGTGTGTAGATGTATTTATAGATGCAGATGCAGATGCAGATGCAGCTGTCCTGTATTCTTGAAATAATATGTTGTGTGTTTGCATAATAGGGGCAAACTGTATTTGATCATCGAAAATACGCTCTAAAAATTCTTATAAACCAACTTCTTTACATCTAGGATCAAGTATTATAGCTAAACCTAATAGATGAGGCAAATGATGAAAATATTTATCAAAATTTTCTTTCATTGAAGTAATAATTGTTACATAAAGTTCATTACCCATATATTTTATAAAAACTTTAGTTATTTCTGCTAGCATATGTAAAACAAATGGTGAAGTAGGAATATATATATAAGAAAATAATTTTGTTGAAGTATCGAAAACTTTTAAAAAATCTTTATACAAGGCTACTTGGCGCCAATTAAGTTCAGCGGGTGTCAGTACTCCTCCTATTGATGTTGTTGCAAAAAATAAATTTATTGCTCTTCTTTGTTTACAAGCTATTTTTAACATATTATATGTTGAATTCCACCTACTATCTATATTTAAAATTAATTTTTTAAATGATATATTTTCTCGTTGACAATTTTTTCTATATTCTGAAATTCGATTACCATAATACATAATAGTAACAACTGCATTTTTTATTACAAGTACATAAGTTTCGTATACATACATAGCTTCTTTAACAATCAAATTTAAAATATGAGCACAACAACGAACATGAAATAAATCACCATTAATAAGTAATTGTAAAGTTGATTTTAAATGGGTTACAGTTTGATTATAATATGATGCATTATCTAAACTAATCGTAAATATTTTATTTTGTAAAGCCCACTCATATAATACATTTCTTATTTCTACACCAAGCGAATGACCAGTGTATGGAAGTTCAATTAATTTAAATAAAATAATTCTTTTATTTAATTTTCAATCATTGTCAATAAAATGTGCAGTGATACATTGATATTCAAAACCATTATTTGACCACAAATCAGATGTTAAACAAACTCTTCCATTCAAATTTTTAAAGATATCAAATAATTCACTTTTAATATCCTTAAATTTTTTTAAAATCCTATTTCTAGTATTTCTTGAAAAACTTGGATATTGCGGTGCAAAACTTTCGTGAATTATTTCGATAAAATGAGGACATTCACTAGTACTAAAAGGTTGTTCTTTTTTAATAATATAATCAACTACAGAATTTTGTGCATGTATAGGATCATATGAAAATGTTTGCAAATTACCAGTTGATGAAGCCCCTAATTGCATTTGACTTCGAATATCAGGTTGTTTACTTCATAAATATTTGTCAGAATGCCTTTTAAAATGACTAGTACCCCTTGCAGATGCAGCACTAAGTAAACGTGCATAATATTTACATTTTGCTTTAAATATAATTGTGCCATCAGGATTATTTATAGATATTTTTTCAAAATGTTCTCAAACACTACTACTTCTGCTCCTAGATGATGATGTAACTGTTGGAACATGGATATTAGAAGGAGAATCAACAGATTCATGTGGTGTAGTATATGTATCAACATCGACATAAACATTAGGCATATTAGGATCCATAGTAGTACAAGTAAAACAATATATAAGAATTAACAATTAATTTAAATAATGTGTAAATTTAATCAGTAAAAAACAATAATTAATATATGTGCATAAATTTAATTAAACTAATTAATGTTACCGACTAGCGAATGCGATATAGAAATTTTATTCTTCTGCTAAAAGTTTCTTATTGCACAATTGCAATTGCCACATAGGGATGACACTTCAAAATTAATTGAGAGTTGAGAGAGATTGAGAGAGTTGAAGAGAGAGAGAATGATTTGTTGTGAAATATATTTTGAAAACTAAAATATATTTATACTAGTTTAAAATCTATCCGTTTGAATTATTATGACTGTTTTATATATATTCCTTTGAGTTTGGCTCAAAATTGTGGCTAGGCTAGGAAATGGTTGCCTCATTCTCGGGTAACTATTTAGACGGTGTTCTTTGGCCAGTGAGAGCCATGACGGGTCCCTTTTTGCTAATCGGAACCGTTCAATGTGTACAACTCGTCAAGTATTATATGTTTGTAAAAAATCACGTTGATCAGATATTTATAACTATCTGATCAGATTAGTTTTTTTTGTAAACCATTAACTGTAACACAATACATTTTTATACCAAATAGATTTGATCATGTAGTTAGCGATATCCGATTAACGTGATTTTTTCTAGACATATAGTAATGGAAGAGTTCTACAGATTGAACGGTTCGGATTATCAAAAAGGGACTCGTGGTGAGCCCCCACAAGCCCAGTATTACCTTCAAACTTAATATATATATATATATATATTTTGTTGTAATTTCCCCTAGTTTTTTTTTACATTCTTCATGTCATTAGTTATTTTTGGACATGTCAAGTTTTTTCATGACGGTAATCAATTTCTTCTTCAAAAAATTATCCTTCCATTTACTCTAGTTTCATCATAACATTTATATATGGATTTGCATTTTGTAAAAATAAATCAATTTGGAACTTTTATATCTATAATCAAGTGAACAATGAGAATGATGCAACATTTCATAGTTGTTTTATTATTATTTCAATTTATGGCTAAGAGTTCACATAAAAAGTGAATTTTTTACGGCATCCATTGCAATAAAACAGCATAGCTTACTTCCATGTAAGGGCTTTTTATTTAATTATATTAATTTTTATTTAATTATTTTATGTTTTTATTTTTATAAGATCAATCTTTTTATTTATTTAATTATTTTATTTTTATAAGATCAATGCTTTTATTTATTTTTTTTAATTATTTAACTATTGTAAATTGTTTTTTATTATTTTTTTTTTGAAATTTGTCGGGGCGGGACGGGTTGCCCGCATGCCCACTTTTTTTTTGGGTCGAGCCAGGCCACGAAATGAAAGACTCAGACCCAAGATATTGGGCTGGGCTCAGGTCCGAATTTAACCGGGCCGAAACAAACCGGGCCAGCCGCAAGCTTCAGAGGGACTTCGGGCCCCCTCGGACCATTTTTACGCCCCTGCTCTCAACCAAACACACATAAATAAATAAATAAATAAAACGTGAGGCTTATTTGCTCGCATTAGCCTGTCTTCTGTTGGGTCAGTTTTCTACTCGTTACTCTCCTCCTCCAAGTTCCGACTTCTTGTATCTTCCAAATCCAGCCAACACGGAACGACCGCAAGCAAAGCATCCGGTGAGTCCTCTCTCTCTCTCTCTCTCTATATATATATATATATATATCTCTCTCTCTAACACACACACACACACTCCTAATGGAAGAAACTTTTCCCTAATTTTTGTGCCCTACTTTTCTTTGCCCTAATTTCTTTACCCAAGCGGTCCAGTTGACATCTACTTCTCCACAAATGGGACCTTTTGTTTTTGTTTTTGTTGTAATTAATTTGATTTGTTTTGATTGATGTTACAAATTCTTATTTTTTGAATATTATGTATAAACCCAATCTAACCCCTCGCAAAACAACCATTAGCAGGTACCAATTGGGTGATTTTTTATTTTTTTTCCCATCTTTTTTAAAGTTTTAAGCAATCGTGCAGATTTTTATTTTATTTATTTTTATTTATAATATTTTAGCAATGATGAATATTGTGAAGAACTAGTTGTGAAACCAAATGGGTGATCAATGAATGAATGATAACTTAGTTGTATATATAGAAACAAACATTTTTGTATGGTATGACAAAACCCCAAACTTTCAAAAAATATTTAACTTTTTTATGTTTAATACTAATTTAAAAAATTATTGTTATTATTATTATCTTATTGTTGTTGATTACAAAAAGAAAAAGTTCAAGATTGTGATTAATGGGGTCCTGAATCAATTTCCTGGCTCTGTCTCCCTTAATCTAATAGCATGTAATGAAGATGCTAGTAAAAATGATACTACATTCTAAAATTTGTATTCAGTAATTAATCTAATTGCATATACGAGACGATAAAGTGTAGGCACAATGGTATCATAAAGTAACACTAATATCTATTTCAAATTTTTTGATGTAATTACTAATTAGAGGGACGGTTTCCTTATCGGATCTCGAAAATATCAAAAAGCTTTGCTGTTCTAGCAACATATTATTTGCACATCTCAGTGGATTGTGAATTTGTGTGGATTGTTGATAATAAATTCATGCTCTCTAGAAAGTATATTTTAATCTATGTAAGTAAATTTTAGCTATTATATGCGCAAGTAAACTGTGTATGGAATATGGATACCAGCAAATAATTTATTTTTTTTTAGTATTTACTAATTGTTTCTTATAGTGATCTGAAACCCGTCTTCTTTTTCTGTATCATGTATATGTGAGTCGAGTAAATTGAGCTTTTGCCTTTCTCCAATTGTCAGGTATCGGCAGTTTGGTGTTTGTGCACAAATTAAGCAAATGGTACACAGTTGGGCTGAGTGCAAAGCTAGTTTGTCTGTGTGTATTTTGCTTTGACATTGAAAATTTGCCATAATTACAATAGACATGGAATCTTCAGAATCAAGGCGTGAGAGAAGTATTGAAATGAGGGATCAAGATGACACTCATGTGAGAGAAAAGTGGGAAGGAGGATATGATGATTTCGAAGAAAATCGCACAGAGAAGTTGAGAGACACAGGTAAGCATCGGAGTAAGGAGAGGAGTAAGAGCAGCCGAAGAGAAGAGAAGGATCATAGAAGTAGAGACCGAGAAAGGTCAAAGGCTAGTGATGTCACAAAAGACAGAGAGAGAGCAAGTAAAGATTTGGAGAAAGATCGAGCAGCAACTAAAGATGGGAGAAGTAGAGATGATCAAAACAAGGATAGGACCAAAGATAAAAGAAGGGAGAAAGATTATGATTGGGATAAGTACAAAGATAAAGAGCGTGATAAAGATAAAGAGCGTGATAAAGATAAAGATCGTAAGGATCGAGGGAAGGAAAGAGACCGGGATCGAGAAACCGAGGCAACGGAGAAGGATAACGAGCGAGCAAGGGAGAAGGAGAGGTCAAAAGAGAAGGGCAAAGATAGGGATAAAGAAAGAGATAAGGCAAAAGACAAGGAAAGGGAAAAGGAGAGAGACAAAAATAAAGATCGAGATAGGGAAAGGGAGATTGACAATGACCGAGATAGAGATGTGCTTGAGACAGAGAAGGGAAAGGAGAGAATCAGGGAGGAGAGGGAGTCAGGTCAAGATAAAGAGAGGTCTAGAGAAAGAGATAAGGTGGGTCGGAAACACCGGGGTGAAGGTCATGATAGGGGCAAGTATGCAACAAAGGATGATACTGTAAAATTAGACCGTGAAGATGGCCTGGATGGGGATATAACTACCCGGGGGAAGGGTTCTCATCATGAAAAGGATGACATTAGGTCCACTAAGTATCAACAGAGTGTTGAGGGAGGAGAATCCAGAGGATCACACACATCAGCTTTGGAGCTTGAAGAGCGCATTTCAAAGTAAGTAATGCTTCCTTTGTGCATTAGTTTTTATTTTTGGGTACTGTCAGGCTGTTTTAAATTTGATATTGTCTATATTTACCTATTCCTTGACCTTTATACTGTTGAAAATTCTCAGATTTTTAAAAGTTAGATGTTGATTTGCTTCTGGTTATGTTGCATATCTGAAAAATGAACACTTTGGATAAAACTACATGCTTAAAGTTAATGGTGTGTTGCAATTCCAAACTTTAACGCTATTATGCTGATAGATAAGTAATAATATATTCTTGGAACCAGATGTTTGTATAACAAAGAGAATTAAGAGATTCTATTGTAGAAGTTATGCCCATAGAAACAACATAAAAGAAAATATTGGAACAACAATTGCTTTCATTGCTAGTTTCCTCCATTGGTGTGTAAATTTCCTTCAGTAATATGGGAAAATCAAAATTGAGATGTTCTTCATACCAATAGATAGAATACATTGTACCGGGCATGCTCATAGAATACTAATGCCCATTTATTCCTAATTATGTTGGAACAACGTCATTTGTATCACTAGTTCTAGTCTCTTGTTGACATGCCTCTTTATTTTTTAATTTATTTCCTAGAATAGTTAATAAAAAAAACTTATCTGCTCTTAAAAAGAAACACATTGTGGAGAATGCTATGGTATGGGGGTGTCTTATGGGGGTGTCTTATGGTGCATGAAGCTTTTTTGTGCCAACATCATGGATTAACGGTGGAAGTGGGTAATAGGGTCCTCTATATCCAAAGACCTACACTAGCTAGGAAGAATGTAATTGTGTCGTGAGTTACCCATAGATCCGAATTGCTTCAATGTGTTGTTGTAATGACATTTTCACCAACTTCATTTTAAATTGCATTGTGTCGTGCGGCTTCTTATAGAGCAATCTTCTTGTTGTTTATGTTTTAAGGTCCCAAAATTGCAAATCGGTGAATGATTTGAGGTGTTGGCCTCTTGTCTCCCAATAATGGTTGCCAGCCTAGGGTATAGAGTGAGTACAAAAGGAATTGTTGTTGCTCTGTAATGTTTTTGGTGTATCCTCAACTTTTAAGTGAAGGAAAAGGATACTGAAAAGGTTTTCACTGTTGTAATATATATATATTTTTTTCATGAGTAAAATATGATTACAACGAACAAGGATCAAAGAGGCTGTTGGAATGCTCTCCCTGCCCACAATGCCCCTTGTTTGGATATTTTTTAATTAATGACCATTTACAATAGGTTTTTCTTAATTAAAAAAATCAAGTTGGAAGTCAAAGGCAAGGGATATAGATGGACACGAAACAAGATTTTTACCAAATAAGAATTTTTTTGATGCTCTTGACATAGGCTTATATTTTTAATTGTAATCTTGATCAAACATTTGCCTCTAGAAATGCCGAAGTTGGCAAAAATTGAGGTAATATCCTTGCTTCTTGTCTAAATTAAATATTTTTTATTCTTATTGATAGAATTTTCGTGATTCTTCATTACAACATTTGCTATTTTTAGTAGAGATTTAATCTATTCAGCTTTCTGAGGAGGTCCCTCCTGACGAAGTTTCTCCTAGTGTGTATGGTTTAGTAGTGGTTAAAGATGCTTTAGTTTAGTAGTTAGTAGTTAGTAGTTTGTTATTTTTATTGGAGATTTAATCTATTGAGTTTTCTAAGGTGGTCCCTTGCTAATAAGTTTTTTTTTGGTGTGTATAGTTTAGTATTGGTTGAAGATGCTCTAGTGGTTGATTGCTCAAGTCAAATGGGTAGTTAGTAATTTGGGATGTTTACTTATATGGACATGTCCATGATTTTGAGGTGCGGCCAACTTTGGATTTTATGGAAATTCTTTGTTGGATTGATAGTGCTAGGAGTGAATTGGACGAGGTTCAAGTGTTGATTCCAAGTCAATGAAGTTTGAAGTTAAAGCTTATTATATCTCTTTAATAATACATTCCCTTGGAAAGGTATGTGCATAAGTACCATGAAAATATAAATTTAAACGTGTACAAAAAAAAAAACAAATAAATTTATTATATATTATATATTTTCAAATAGACAAATAGCTTATTCAAAAGAAATAAAAAAAACAATATAACACTATTTAAAATTAAAAAGTCATATATATAGTTTTTCTAATGTAAACATCAAGATGTCATTCACATAATGCAATTGCATTGAAAAGAATGCAAAACAACTGTAAAACATTGAAATACACATGATATATTCATCTTGTGAATGTTTCAAAATATATTTAAGGTGTGTTTGGGATTGTCTTTTTTAGTGACTTTTTTGTTGATTTTTTTTCGTGTTTAGTGAACTTAAATTAATTTTAAAAAAAGATTTACCGTTGTAGGTTTGACTAGACAGACTAGAAAATTAATAAAAAATAAAAAAAATTTGGGAAAAAGTTCATTAAAGAAAAAAAAGGGGCTTTTTTTGGCCACAAATTTGACGCAAAAACCACTAAAGCCGAAAAAGTTCAGAAAACGATGTGTCCTTTATAGGTGGATCCCAAACTCACCCTTGGAGTGCATAAATTGCATTCCAAAGAAGCAGGGCATTGTTGCTTGAAGCGATTAAGCACATAGGTTGTGTTCAAAGGGTTCAAAGTGCCATTGAAGTGTATGTAAAGTGTCTTATATTATGAATTTAAAATTTTAATTATGACGCATTGAATATGTGTTGGACACACTTTTAGGATTGTCTCTAATGTATCGTGTCCGTAACGGTGACAAGCCTTCTCCATAGAAGTGTTTGTGCTTCTTAGATATTTGCCTATTAGGAAATCTAAAGTACCTATCAAGATGACATTTTGTTATTGTTTTTTATCATTTGTGAGCGTGCGTGGAGTCAATAGCCCATTGCAAAATTTTGATGATTGACAGCTTGTCAGCTATACTGTTGTCTATTCTGTTATGTAAATCCAACAAATCAGTGGTGTGAACAACAAACTGAAGTTTTGTCATCATAATTTCTAATGCCAAAAATTGTTCCGATAGGAACTATTTGTCACATTTGTTTCAATTATTCCTATGATCTATCTATAACTGTTTGGGCGAATTTGTAAAAAAATAAAGACTACACAATGACTCTACATTGCAAACTACCAAGTTTCCCACTCATTCTCATTAAAAGCCATGTTTTGCAACTACATCATCATTAAAAGCCATGTTTTGTGCACGCATCGTGTGTGCAAGGTTCTCTTTGTAGAAAAGTGAAAATTAAATCCGAAGTTGATGTTTTCTTGCAAGGAAGTGGTACAATTTATGGATCATCTGCTTATTCAGCCGGTGAGTTGTCGAATCTATTCCTTTCTTTGCTTGCATTAGGAATGTGGAAACTTTATATTTAATGTGGTGTATTTGGGGAGAATCCTTTTCCTAGTCATTTTTGGATTTGGTGAAGATATGATTACTTCTTTTTCTTTGTTTGTTTATTTATTTATTATTTTAAATAGGGGTTTGTGGGTTTTAGTACATGTTAATCTGCTTGGATGTGCCCCTATAGGTACTGCTTATAATATAATTTAACTCAAAAATTATAAATTGATTTGACAAGGCCATTAAAAGGTGACTCTGGTTTTAGTATTGAGGTGCCATGTCTGAGATGTAGTCTTTATGTAGAGAGTAGGAAATTTGATTTGGCTTGTTGTGAAGATATCAAAATTTTTACTTCAATTAGTGTGAAGTCTTTTACCCTCATCATATTGACATCTTGGCACCTTTTCTTGGACTAGGAAAATTATGTGTGATATGATTTGTTGATGATTTGGCCTTGGTCCATAACACTAGAATTAGTAGCATACGCCTTGCATTGTTGCAAGACTCTTTCTGCTTTGAGATACTTGTTAATTAGCCATCTTATTCTATAACTTTAACAACATTTTGAAGTGGCTTTCAAGTGGAAATCATGCATTGACTGTGTCTATAATTAGCATATCTATTAATTATTTCGACTCTGTGACTTTCAACTTGTAGTAATTCTGTGGCCTAGTATAATTAACATATCTATTGATTTTCAGATGTGTATTTGTATTATTTTTGGATATCTAGGGTATTCTCATGTTTTTAACTCAGTTATGTACTTGGCTTATCTCAGTTGTGCATATTGGCTTCGCTAAAGAATGATGTGATTGGAGAGTACCTCCTTCTTGCATATATCTTATCATAATCAATTTTGCAATTTTTGTTGTTTGAAGTAGTGGAATGCTAGTATGAAATAATATTTTGGAATGTTCTTTTATTTTTTTGGTGATAAAAAGGTAACTACATTTGTGCTTAGGGAACCTTACTCACATATTTGTTTAGGAATTCAGGTAAAGGGGCTTGTATTTATTTCATTTTCTTCTTCTACATCTTAAACCTTTTATTTTTTATATTTAGGATGAAGGAAGAAAGAATGCGTAATAAATCTGAGGGAGTACCTGAAATTTTAGCATGGGTTAATAAGAGCCGTAAGCTCGAGGAGAGAAGGAGTTCTGAAAAAGAGAAGGCCTTGCAGCTCTCAAAGATTTTTGAGGAGCAGGTTAGTTGGTTTCCTTTGTGCTTCCTCTTTATTTTAGGTCTGAAGTGAACAATTGATCTTACATATAATTTTTCAGGACAATATCAACCAGGGAGAAATTGAAAATGAGGCGGCACCCCAGCATACTGCTCGTATGGTTCCTTTTCACTCTCATTATTATTGTTGTTGTTAGTGTGTTATTATTGTTATTGTTTTTCCAAAGCTTGTCATAGATGATTGATTTTTGGCATTGGATGCCACCTAGGAAGCATGGACACCTTGCTGAAGGCAGTGTACAGATGTCCGACACGTGTCAGACACCGACGCGGTGGACACGTGTCGGACACTCTACCACAGTGTTTTAAAAGGCTCTAGGCGCACCGAGGCGATATGGTCTCCTATAGGCTATAGCCTAAGCGCGAGGCGAAGCGCACGCCTCACCAAAGTGAAGCTCAAATAGTAGAAGAAAAGCTAAATTATAAAATAGGCAAAATTTTTAACATAAAAAATATATATATAATTTAAAAAATCATAACAATTTTCGATAACCTCTAAACATAACATTCAATCTTCTAAAAATTAGAAATATAATATCCAACAAGAGATATAAAGCATAGCATTCAATCTTTTATCATTTTCTGCTCTCTTTTGACCACATTTGGTCATTTTATATTAAAGAGTTTTGAATCCCTATAGGTATGCACACAAAAAAAGCACTTAATCGACAATTGGTGTAGAAAAATAGGTAAAGTTCATGAAGCCTGCACCTTGTGCCTCAAAAAAAAGCCCTCGCCTCAGCGCCTAAGTTGCGCCTCGCCTCGACCTGTTCGAAGCGCAAGGCTGTGCCTCATTGCGCCTCGCGCTTAGGCGTGCGCCTAAGCACCCCTTTTAAAACACTGCTCTACCAGACATGTCCCTTTTTTTTTTTGAATTTTTTCATCCAGACATGTTTTTGACATGTAAAGACACGTTTGGACACTCTGTAAAAAATAAAGCTTGAAAAATAGAGAGGTGGATTGAAGCCCTAACCCGTTGGAAACAAGAAAGAGAGAGAAAGAGATTGAGAGAGAGAAAGCCCTAACCTATTTTTCCTTTCTTCTGTTCTCCATTCTTCCCCTGTCTTCTTCGTTTTTCTTCCTCTGCTGCCTTCATTTTTCTTCCTCAGTCTGTCGTCTTTGTTTTCTTCCTCTCTGTTTCCTTTGTTTTCTTCCTCGCTCCCTTCTTTGTTTTCTTTTCTTTACCAAGTTAGTGGAAACCAATGTTGATCTATTTTAAAATGGTATATGAAATAAGTTTGTGGGCCCACTAAAGATTTGTGTCACCATTCCACGAAGCCTCCATTTCACTAACCTCAATATTGCATTTACCTTCATACATCTTCCATTGTAATATTATATATGCATAATATTTTGATATTAAAATACTCCACACCAACACAAATCTTTTGGGTATTGTGTTTATTAATTTTATTATTATTGTAATTTTATAAGAACCTATATTTGATTCTTAAATATGGCATTGACTTTATATTATTTTGTATTTTTAGTTATCTTCTAATGATTTTTATTTTTATTTTTATTGACATATAATAAATAAATAAAATTTATACATATTGAGCATGTCCCCAGCGTGTCGTATCCCTCATTTTTTGAAAATTTGCGTGTTCGCGTGCCCGTGTTGTGTCCTGTGTCCATGTCCATGTCCATGTCCATGTTCGTGCATCATAGGATGTCACATTTAACTTGGATCAATTTGTTGTTACATGGCATGGCATTTGAGCACACGAGTTGGTGGTTTAACATGGATTCATCACTTCAACACTGAATTAAGTAGAATGAACTCATGTATATTTCTTTAAATTTTAATAATATCTTACTCCTATCAATTGTAGAACATAAGACTGCCCAATTTCCTTGAGATATTCAAACACAACTTTGAATAACTCATGTCAAGAATTTGTTTTTCATCAATGTTGTTGGAATTGTTAGGTACATGATGTGTATCGTATGAAAAAAGATGCATATTGTGAACTCATATCTTTAGTGACTTGAATCATGAGATATGTTTCCGTATGATATAGTATCTCAACGTGTAGCGCATGATTAATTGAATGTTACCTTGTCCTTCATCTTTGTCTTTGTTAAAGGAGTTTTGACACTATCATTCACCTTCGATGATAATCATTGAATAATCACGAACCATTTTCTTAGACAATTTCATACAAAGGAGACCTAAATCGAGATAAAAAAGTTGCATGAAAAATAACTCGCATGCTCCATTTGCTACTAGAAATTTAATTATTCTCATGGATCTATTTCGGGGGGAAGAAACAAAGACTTTACACGTACGGTTGGATTTGAGTTTATTCTGTGATTTGAGCCAAAAAGCTTGTTTGGACAATAATAATAAACCCTCTAACAAGTATGTTTGAGACTACTCATATCCAAACAAATCCAAAAGAATATCTTTAGTTGCAAATCATGCACTAGATGGACCAACCTATCAGATTCGATTAGGAAAGATAAATGATTGTCTTATTTTTTGATGTTTGCAATGAAATGTCATTTATCTCGTGTTATATTAAAATTTTCAATTTTCTTAATTTCTTATGAGTTAGATATGAGATTTTTAATTTTTCTCTTTGACCAATTTGTAAGTTTTTAAGAAATAAATTTTTATGTCATTTATTATATGATTTAGTATTTTATTCTTGCAATATATGTTAGTTTATCTTATGATATTCTTTATGATGCACACAATCCTGTATTCTGCACTCACAGTATTGCATTCTAAAATCTCTCAGTGAGAAAAAGTTTGTGATGATGAACTTCATTTGCATAAAGTTTCCCACTGTTTTATGCATGTTTTTTATTTTGTATGTTCTTGCAACTTAAAAGTTTCAGTTTCTTAGTATCACTCAATTATGTTCACTTTGGTTTTGAACAGAAGACTTAGCAGGGGTTAAAGTTCTTCATGGGCTGGACAAAGTAATTGAAGGTGGGGCAGTTGTTTTGACACTCAAAGATCAGAGCATACTTGCTGATGGTGATATCAATCAAGGTAAACAATTTGTTCATAGCTGCTTCTTCCCCCTTCCCTTCTGCCCTTTTTCTTCCTCCTCTGTTGTGGCATATTTTTTTGCTTCAGATGCCATATGGTGATATGACATCGTATATAACAGCGGTGGACATGCTTGAAAATGTGGAAATTGGAGAGCAAAAGCGGAGGAATGAGGCTTATAGTTCTGCAAAGAAGAAAACGGGGATATATGATGACAAGTAAGACTAAAATTACTGTTAATTCACTATCTGTAAATGTACTTCAGATAACCAACTCCCCTTTTTGTTCATTGTACAATTTTAGGTTCAACGATGAGCCAGGTTCTGAAAAGAAAATACTCCCAAAATATGATGATCCAGTTGTGGATGAGGTTATATTTTTTTTTCTTAGTATTTGTAGAAATGCTGGGTTTGGTTATTGTATTACCTTTTGTACTTAGCTGCGGTTTACTTCTCCAGGGGATAACTCTGGATGCAAGTGGTCGTTTCACCGGCGACGCAGAGAAGAAACTTGAGGAGGTATTCATTCTTGTTAATGTTGTAGTTTATGAATGTCATTAAGGAAAAAATTTGTTTTGTTATCTTATTGAAAGTGCATGTTCCTTTGCCAGCTCCGAAGAAGGATACAGGGTGTTCCGGCAAACAATCACTATGAAGATCTCAACTCATCTGATCAAATTAAATCAGATTACTACACTCACGAAGAAATGCTTCAGTTTAAAAAGCCCAAGAAAAAGAAATCATTGAGAAAAAAAGAGAAGCTGGACATAGATGCGCTTGAAGTGGAAGCTGTCTCTGCTGGATTGGGAGTTGGAGATCTTGGTTCTCGGAATTATGGGAAGAGGCAGGCCATTAGAGAGGAGAATGAGAGATCTGAGGCTGAAAAAAGAAGTAATGCATACCAAGCTGCATATGCTAAAGCAGACGAGGCATCTAAAGCACTGCGACTGGAGCAAACTATCACTGTTAAAACAGAGGAAGATGATAATCCAGTATTTGGTGATGACGATGATGATCTACGCAAATCATTAGAAAGAGCAAGAAAATTTGCACTTAAGAAGCAAGATGAGGCTTCCACATCCGGTCCTCAGGCTATTGCATTCCTTGCCTCTTCAACAGTCAGCAATTCAACTGCAGATGACCAAAACCCTGCATCTGGAGAGACACAAGAAAACAAGGTTGTCTTCACAGAGATGGAAGAATTTGTCTGGGGACTTCAACTCGATGAAGGTATGCTTTCCATGGTCTGTTCCAATGAAATTAAAATTAAGTAGCATTACTTTTAGTTCATGTTTGGTATCACTTATAAGTTAACTTTTATGATTTTAGCATTTTAGATTACTAGCTTAAAAGGCTTAAAATGAGTTGTAAGTATGTTTGGTGAATTGATAATCTGTTAAAAAAAAAAAAAAAAAAAAATTGAGCTTGTTTGGTTAAATAAGTTGTGATATATGTTTTTTATTGTGCAAATATCTATAATACTCTCAAAAGTTATAATTAGGAAAAAAAGAGATGGGGCTCTTTTAATCCCAAGGAGGGGTTGGCCGAGCGGTAAAGACTTGAGGATAAGATCTAAAGTCTTGAGTTTAAGTCACCCCAAGGGGCCATTGGAGCTTTGCCTAGTTGTTAACTTCAAGACCTTGTGATTAGTCGAGGTGCGCGCAAACTGGCCCAGACATCTAGTTGTCAAAAAAAAAAGAAAAAAAAAGATTGGGCTCTTTTGTCCACATTTATCTAAGGGTTTCAAATAAGCTGAAAAAAATCTACAAATTGTGTAGCTTAAGAAAATCTCATTTTTTGTTGCCAAATTAGCTGTAAAAGTCAAGTAAGTTATATTTAAATTTGCAACCGAACACCATTACTCAATTTTTTTAAAGCAAATAAACTAATTAAGGCCTCGTTTGGGAACAAATTTTTTTATTAACTTTTTGATTTTTTATGAAAAGATGTGTAGAAAAGTAGAAAGAGTGATGTGACAACTTATAGTGGCTTTTTGACTTTTTGGCTAAAATAGTTACTCCCCAAATTAGGCCTAAGTTAACATGTAAGTGCTACCAAATGGGGTCTTACCACATTTCTAGAGGTAATAGTAGTATATGTGTCAGCTATCCTGTGGAGTGTTGCTGTTTGGAAACTTCCAAATAAGCCAAATTTTTTTTGAGGAACTTTTTTGCCTTTAATGACATTTTTTTCAAAATTTTGTCAATTTGTTTTGCTTTTTTGGTTCGTCAAAAGTTTTTTTTCTTTTGAAAATTCCACAAAACCCCCCCCCCCCCCCCAAAAAAAAAAAAAAAAACAAAAAATTTTGGCTTTTTTTCAACAATTTTTGGTTTGTTTGTCTTTTCTAGACTCTTTTTTTGAACTTTTTAAATTTTTTTATAAATTTTTCGGTTCGTCTCGTCGAGTAGAATCTAGAAGCATAAAGCTTTTTGAATTTTTTTAAAAAAAGTTCACTAAAGACAAAAAATAAGCCAACAAAAACGTCATCAAAAGAGCAAACCCCAAACACAAATGTCTCTCGATCCTAAAATTAGACCCAATCAAACGGGATTAATTTCATTAAATTTCATGCTTTTCAATGTTGTATGTTCTTTAGTATATAACTGTCAGATGGTAGCCATATTTTGCATCTGGGCAGAAATATGGTTGGGAGTTATTTGGAAGAAGCCCAGCTGCCCGGGAGTAATACTATTCTTCCACCATTTACACTCCTAATGTCAGTATCTGGTAAACTTTTGAATGTATTACAGTTTTTGTTTTATTGTAACTCAAAAGGTTTCTTGACATCTGGTCCATAGATGTTCTGCAAGTAAAATGCTATATTCTTTGTTGACTCCATATGCAGATCCTTAGACTAGTTTATAATGGGTCTTGTTAAGCAAGATTAAAAGGATTTTACATTCTTCATTGTACTCACTTTTATTTTATGCAAAATGTACAATCCTTTTAAGCTTCTTAATATGTGCCTTAAGGGCACACGTTAGCAAAATCCATATATAATGTGTATGTTAATTTCTGAATTACTGATGTATACTGTCACTTTTGCTCTTTCAGAAGCCCATAAGCCAGATGGTGAAGATGTTTTCATGGAGGAAGATGTAGCACCAATAGCCTCTGATCAAGAAATAAAAGATGAGGACGGTGGTTGGACAGAGGTAAATGATACCGACAAAGAGGAACCCACTGCTTATGAGGATAAAGAGGAGATAGTTCCAGATGAAACGATTCACGAAGCAGCTGTGGGGAAAGGGTTATCTGGTGCTCTTAAGCTGCTTAAAGAGCGAGGATCACTGAAAGAAACTGTTGAATGGGGTGGCAGAAACATGGATAAGAAAAAAAGCAAGCTTGTTGGCATTTATGATACTGATCGGCAAAAGGAGATACGAATTGAAAGGACAGACGAGTTTGGACGAATTGTAAGTAATCTCTTTGCAAAGAAGCAATTGCTTCCATTTTAAATGTTTTAGCATTACAATTAGGTGTTATGTGCATATGTAGCACCTCACATTCAATTGATACCATGAAAGAGAAGAGAATTAATGGATAAAAGCTTACTTCATGGAGTGATAATAAAAATTTGATCAATTGTATTCTCAGCCATGTGTGCCATGACCCAATTTGTCACACTAATCAGTGTGTTTGGTTTCAATTTTCTAGAAATTGAGTTTTTTTTTTTTTTTTTTTTTTTTTTAAATATTTTTACCAAATGATTCACGATTCAATTTGTGATTTGAGAAAAATAATTAATGTGGGTTTAGTCAATTTATTTATTTTTTATTTTTATTATTATTTTTTTTAACTTTTTAAGATGCACCTTACTTATATGTATCTAAGTAGTAAAATATTTTTGAAAAAGTATTTTAAAAAATTAATAAATACACAAAAATATGAAAAATGTACTGAATTTTCATATATATATATATATATATATTTTATTTTTGGTATTTAGTGAATTTTTTAAAGATTTTTTTCACCAATATTATACTTTTTAAAGTGTATTTATGTTAGGTATGTCTAATATTAAAAAAATTGCTTAAACATTTTTACCAAGTATGTAGGCCACTATATTGATTTTAACTAGAAGTTGAAAGTATCATCTATTGTGAGGGGGTGTTTGGGAAGTTGGGTTGGAGGCTAAAATAGCTAATAAAGGCAAAATAGGCTAAAATAGCCAATAAGACAAAATGTTACATCCAAATTATAATCATTTCACTTTGTCTCTCATAACCATCAAATCAACGATAAAAAAAAAGAAAAAAGAAAAAAGAAAGCCAAGTATTATCCCAAACACAACTCTTTTAGCCAGGCTAAAATAGTCAAAAAGCCAACTAAAATAGCCTATTCTCAAACGGGGCCATATATATATATACACACATTTGGATTCATGTTCATAAGGGGTCTGATGGGAATTTGTACATGGTAGCTGTTAGGCTACCTAACAGAGCCCTCCTTCTTTATCTAGGCATGTGACCGGCTGTATAAAAAGATTAATTGAGCATGTAGCCCTTGAATGGAGAAAAAAGATTAATGTAGCCGACCCTACTTGATTGGGACACAAGGCTTAGTTTGGTTTGGTATATATAAATTTGACTAGGGATGTGTGATATTGTATTGCTATAGCCAAAACACCCCAAGGGTGCAAACCATTCAAAAGGATTGAAAAAAGCTCAAATATAAAATCCACAAGTAGAAAAGGATCCACATAAAGATCCTTTACACCAAAAAAATAAAAATATGCAGGAGATCTATCATAAGAGATCCATATTGTGTTTATTAGTCCTCCTAAATCCAACTCCTCAAAAGTATGCCTATTCCTCTAGGTTGTCCCTATTCCACTGCCACATCAAGCATGGACAAAGCAAAGCAACCATAGATCGGCAGTAGCGAGTCTAGTAGAAAATGAACAATATTGTTTATGATACAATAGTCTAGATCATAGTTTCGTCTGTGTCGTGCTTAGCATTTAATCTTTTACACAATTAGTCCCAAGCTTGGATAATGAGGGTTGTGTGTGAGCATAAAAATCCTCGTTAGATCCTTTATGAACATGAATCCTAATTTGACTATGTGAGTAAAGACTAAGGCAGCTTAGTATATAGCCCTTGACAGAGCAAAATGGTGAAAGAGGATTCATGTAGATGATCCTACAGGAGTGGGACACAAGGTGTAGTTTGGTTTGATTTAGTCTTGATTGCAGTTAGAGAGAAAAGTATGGTAGCAAGTTGCTACTAGTTTTCATTCTATGAAAATAAAACAAGCTTTGATGTTTGACATAGGTAGGAGGAGCATAATGTATTAGGTAGGAAAGAAAAAAATGTGGTGACTTCAAAAGTTCTATTTTTGGAAATGGATTCTCTTCATCTTGGCATCCAACTGGAGAGGTGTTGTTGGGTTTGGTGGGCTCACCTTGAGGTCCACCTCAGTGATCTGGATTGTTCATTTTGTATGGTCCATTTATCAGATGATCCATGCAAAAAACCAGGTTGGTTGGGCATCGCTAGCTATATGATCAGATTTCATTTTAAAATTTGGAAAAAAATGGATGTTAAAATTTGGAAAAAAATGGATGTTAAGTATGATTTTGGAAACAAACCATCCATTTTTTATAAAGACAAATGTGATAAGATCATGTGGCTACTGATGTTTGATCATCTTATGTTTTGCATGGTTGCTTTATCCAATTGATGCTACAAGATGAACAATTCGGATCACAAAGATAGGTCTTGAGATGGGTACACCAAAGCCCAACAACACCTCAATTGGAGAGGAATCCTTTCCCTTGATTTATTTATTTATAAAAAAAATCCGTCTGAATTTGTCATGAATCCACTTGTTTATTTGGAAGTGTTAAATGCTACAAAAAGTCTGATATGGACTTTTCTGGAGAATAGATTTTTCCTTGTGACATAATTACTATCAAATGTTGACTGTTATCATGGAGACTTCTAGAACCCTGAGTGGCTAAATAGCTGCTCTTTGGAACTGTACTTGGCTTGTTGCATTTATGGTTTCACATTTATGTTTTGTGAATTCCTATGCTAGTTTGGTTTCATAATGTTTTCTAGGATCCAAAACATAATAATGATCAGTAAGCCATATTTTATGATTCATTGAGGTTCTTTGTTTGTGTTTACCAGTTGACCCCAAAGGAAGCTTTTCGGTTGATTTCACACAAATTCCATGGGAAGGGGCCTGGGAAAATGAAACAAGAAAAGCGCATCCGTCAATACCAAGAAGAACTGAAGGTGAAGCAAATGATGCCTTCAGATACGCCATCGTTATCCGTAGAGAGGATGAGGGAAGCTCAAGCTCGATTGAAGACACCCTACCTTGTTCTCAGTGGGCATGTCAAACCAGGGTATGTTTTCTTTTTGCTTATTTGCTTATTTGTTTATTTTTTGTTGGTTGCTAACTTATGTGCTGAAATTTAATGAAATGAAAGTATATTTGTGGATAGCACGATCTTCATGATTGGGTGATAATGGACTTTTTTGTGTGTGGTTGTATTGGGTGAAGGGGGTTTGGTTATGTGTCAACGTGGTTTGAATGGGTTGTTATGGGTGTGGGGTCAATGGCCCCTGCCATTTCTCCCTAACATTCCATGCTTTACCATATGTATTGGCAATTGTAGCCATGTATAAATTTTGCCACTGAATCATGGCTGCTTTTGGTAATAAAATGAAGTAGGCATGATCGTTCAAATAGCTAATGGTAATTTCCTGGTACCAAAATGGCGGTGGATGAACCTTCTTTATTGGTCTTGTCTGGAACTTCCCCATAACATTCAATTTGGGGTTTTAGGGGCTTTTCACTAAGAAAATGTATGCTGTGCCCACCCGTGAATGTTATCAGGTTCTTTATCTAACCTGGGTCTTGTTTTATTTCCCAGCCCCAAGTTAACTTCCATATGGATAGCCTTATTTCACCTAATAACTTGAAGGAACGAGGTAAAATTCCTTTTTTGTTGAGCTGGTGCTGGCATTTGCCAAACCACTTTTTAGCAATCTGAGCTGAGTTCTTTTGCAAGTTTGGATTTTATAATTGAGTTGTTGAGCAGATCAACAAGCTTGATCTATCCTGCAGCTATTGAAATTCCCATGGCAGTATAACAGAATGCTTGTCCTTGTTGCAATCCCACTTTATTTATTTTGTAGATGATTGTTCATTTGTTCTAGGAATTTCTTGAATCCTTCAACCTGATTATCTATCATAAATCCAATTTTAAGGATCAAGTACACCAATTTTGGATTCTAAATGATAGTGATGTGGAATGGTTATTAAGAAATCTGTTCGACTATCTAATTGATCCCAAAACCAGAATATATGGAGAATTGATCTAAAACAGAAGATCAAAAAGTTTCAAGAAGATTAAGAAGAGAGAACACAATGGTCATGACCCTAATATCACAAAAACAGCCAGTCTTACACTCAAATAATGTTGTCTTAAAGCTGATCTAAAGTTATTACATAAAATCCATTAATATAGGCAACATAGAAGACCCTAATTAAGGTTACCAAAAATTCAACACTAACCTAATAAATACCTAAATTAAAATAAAACTTATAAATAAATTAAGTTACAAAATCATCAATATTTGTTTATCCAACGCCTTTCTGTTCCGCATCAGATAAGTTTCTGTTTGTGTAGCGTTAAATTTTGTGGCAAGATGTGGTGCAAGGGTGGTTACCACATGTCTCTGTGTGTTTGTGTTTGTTAAAGTAAATAAGTTCATTGAAAAACAACCTTGAAAAGTTTGTACATAACCTGTGGGAATTCCATGCCATTCTGTCAACAGAACCAGGACTTTTAAATGATGAAGCTTAACTAGGATTATGTTTGATGTCTGTAATGCAGATATCCTTCTCATTGCAATCTTCCCAATTTATTTACTTTGCTTGACCTTACATTTTATTTTAATTGATTGCAGTCAAACTAGTGATCCAAGAAGTGGTTTTGCTACAGTTGAGAAGGACCTTCCTGGTGGCTTGACGCCCATGCTTGGGGACAGAAAGGTCAGTGTAGCTTTTCATGTTCTGTACTTTCATCTCTCAAAATCTGTGTGTGCATACATGGATTGATTATGTACAGATTGGTGTAGACATGTGGCTTGGATGCATTGTGGTTTGCATTTCGTTCTTCTAAATTAAGTGGAAAGCATCATAAGCCTTATTGTTGATAAGTCTTATTTATATAAAATTATTTCCCATCATCAATTTCTAAGATTAATAGTTTAATTGCATTTAATGCCTGCTATGTCTTGGGGTGTTTGTCGTATTATTAGGAAGTTATTCTAATTTTCGAAAACCAATGTGGTGGATACCACAGATGCAGTTGATTTTATATAGTACCTGCACCATTTGCAATTAGTGGTCTGAAGTCTGTTTGAATTGGCTGGTTCATGTTGCTTATAATGCCGTATTGGTTGTGTTGGGGTTTGTATATCTTGACCAGATTATAGTTGGATCTGAGTTTTCGGTTGTAGTGGAACTGAGCAGTCTGTCGGATTGGGAGCAATTGATGCTGCAGTAGTTGTGTTCAATGAAATGATGTTTCTGGCTTAGGTCTGTGTGTGTGTGTGTGATATGCTTGTATGTATTTGGAAAACTGTGTTTGTATGATAAACTTGAATGACACGCTTCCTAACGTACATAATTTTTCATCATATGATTGCCTATAGGTTCTTTACTAGTAAACTAAGAAGCACGGATAGAGACACGTGACACGGCATTGACATGTTCACACAAATTTTCAAAAAATTACATGGAGGACATGTGCAAAATATTTAATTTTATATATTTGTTATTATATATCATATGTAAGGGTTAATAATTATTATACGTCGTAGATATGAATATTTAAACCAAATATAATAATTTTTTAAGTCCAAAAAAAAGATAATAGATATAAATTTACATTAAATGTTGAGAAGTGCCTTGTTGTGTCATGTCAGTGCCTAACATGACACGTAAGCAGGACGGTTAGGGACAGCGCTGTGAGAACGGGACAGTTGGATTTTGTGGGTTTTTATTGTGATTCAAGCTGAAAAGTAATGAAAAATTAGGGTATTTACTAATATATGGAAGAATTAGGGTTAGGGGCTTAATGTAATGTGCTCGAAGATTGAATTTGAGGACTCTTTGGGTACTTACTGTGAACAGTATCCGTGAACAGTATTTTGGGCTGTTAAAAGTGCTGAAATAAAAGAGGGAAAGAAAGAGAAGAAAAAGAAAGATGTAGGAATCACTCTTAGAATCCCTTAGGCATCATATCTAGGGTTAGGGTTGCATCACACAAATCCAAAGAGGCTTCAAAGCTCTCAAAATTGTATAAAATATCAACTCCCTCGCTTCAATTAGAAGTATTACATGACTTTATATAGACTTGAGACTTCCTAAATCAACTATAACAAAAAAACAAGAAACTATTCAAATATTTTTGACTTCTAAAACCAATTTAAAACTAAATAAGAAATATAAATAAGACCCTATTAAATAACTTGACCCACAAGACGACCCATGGGCGACGCTTACAACCTATGACAGCAATAATGCAAATTACCAAAATACCCCTGACCTAAAAATCCTATAAAACATAAAAATAATCATAACATGAGACTCTATTAATACTATAAAGATAATTATATAATATTTATATCAATTCTCTTTGAAATCATGTCAATGCTCAAATATCATCGCTTTTTTAAATTTAGTCTTCCTTGAGCTTCTTATACTTTGCATCACTTAGTCTATGTGCTTCTTAGGCAGTAAATTCCAATTCAAACTCCTTTAGTTGATTATAATACTATCACATTCTTCCCCTCCTAAGTTTTCTAAATATTTTTCATTTAACAGCTTTTAAAATAACCTTTTCACCTCTCTTTAATCTCATCACCTTCACTCTCACCCTCAAATCCTCACATTTCATACACTTGGTTAAAATCTTTTGTTTTTCTTTCTCTCAATATAACAAGTCTGTTAATATTATTTTCATCATCTTTACTATTTAATGTAGTGCATAGATTGTCTTAGGCTTTTAACTTAGCAACTTTGATTGTCCTTTTTTAACCTCCTTATTTGCCAACTTGTCTTTGTTAAAAATTTTCTCATTTTTATCCCTTTGTCACTTTTAAAAACATTTCTTTTTTGTTTTTACTATGACTTGTATCTCCCTATTATACCACAAAGTGTTTTCTTAGATATAGGGCCTTATCTCTCTAACTCTCCATTGACTTTTGGTTGCTAAAACTGTGTTGATTTTCTGGGAAAGAGATCATTTGTGTAATGCAAGGAAAAAGTCAAGGTTGCCAAATTGGTTGTGCTCTCTCGGTTGTGATGAATAACTTTGGAGTGAAGAGGGAAGAGAGAAGATGAGAGCTTTTGATTTTGAGGATGACTGTGTAGTGAAGGTGGTTGGGAACAAGGGTAAATTTAGTATTTACGTTATCACTTCTAATGGCTAGATCATGGAAGGGATGTCTGTGTATATTGTTGGCAAAATACAGGGGAGGTCCCCGTGAGTGTCACAAACCTCAGGAAAGGTCCGTGTAATTAGCTCATATATTTATTATTTTATTAAAAAATTTAGGGTTTTTTTTTAAATGTAATTTTTTTAGTGTGGGTGCATTTGGAAACTTCTGTCCACAAATAATGTTAAATTATCTGTTTGTAGGGCTCCCATTTCTGATATCATGCTCCAGATCATTAATAAAGAACATAAATTAACATAAAAAGAGGTTTAAAAAGAAATATATTTATATTTATAAATTTTTTAGGGTTTTAGAGCACCTAGTTACATCAAAATCATACAACACAATGGAATGGTTTGGAACTGGCTACCATTTTCAACCTTGTTGAAGAAAAATGCAAGATATAACTTATAGGTTTGGTTCATTTGAACAATGTAAAAGAGCTTGTCTTGATAGAAGCATATCAAATTCATTCAGTGTATCCACTTGTGCTTATGTCTGTATTTGTTTTAAATCCTTGGCTCTCTGAATGCTTGGTTTTGAATCTTTTTGGTCCTTTCTTTTGTGTGATGGTCCTCGTATATATATAGAGGACCATTTATATGATACAACCACTTCATGATAACATCATTTAAATTTAAATAAGATGACCATCTATACAATACGAGACTCTTTTATTGTCAATTTTAATACAAGCCAATTTATGATAATGTCTGTTAAATTTAAATGACTGTCTATACGGTACGAGAATCTTATCATCAATTTGAATTCAAATCAATTCATGATAACGTTGTTTAAATTCGCAATGCTATCATACCCTGTATTTTTAATCTTCTAGAATTTATCCCCTGTAGCTTTTCTACCATAACTCTGCACTCGTCATCCCCTGATTGGATTGATTATCCTTTGAACTTTGTAGATTCCTTGTGTCACTTGTCCTTTTGCAGGTTCCGAAGACCTTGAGTTTAGGGTCTTATCAGCCAAACAAACCCTGACCAAACCTTATACGATCTTAGCCGTGCCTTCAGTTCTTCAGCTATTATTCAATTGAAATATACCTGCCAACAAATGCCTCCTTGTGATTCATGCAAGTAAATTTTAATTGCGCAAATCACAATAACTTGACACGTTTATTTTAAAGGCCTTTTTTTTTTTCCCCCTCCATTTTTTTGTTTGTTTATGCCATCTTTGGATTTTGCCCCCCTGTCATTGGCGGTTTCAGAATGACCTCTTAGAACTTTTGCATTTCTATAAACAAAAAAGAAAACTGCAGCAAATAGTGCTAAATTATTTTATATGTTTTTCTTTTTGTTATATTTCTTCTTTTAATTAAAGATCTCTTTCAGACTCGTTATTTTAATATTTTTTTGGTCCATTTTTCAGGTTGAGCACTTCCTAGGGATAAAGCGGAAGGCCGAGCCCGGAGACATGGGTCCGCCAAAGAAGCCTAAAACATGAAGCTTCACGGAGGAGAGATTTCCGGCTGGATGTCATGCAATTTATGGAAGGCATTCAATTTGGAATGGAGTAGGTATATGCTGGTGAGCGACCATTAATTGTCTGTTTCTCCATTGCTGTAGTGTCAGGTTGGGTTTAGCTAGAGTCACAGACAAACATAGCTTGCTTGCTGCTCTAGGTGCCGACATAAACATAGCGCTCTCTCTCTCTCTCTCTCTCTCTCAACCAACCCACCCTAGATTGCGCTTGTTTATAATTTTTCCTTGCCTTTTGTATTCGACAAAAACAAGAAGAGTGTAATTCAAATTTTGGAGAAAATAATTTGCCAATGTATTTTGCAGCTGAGTCAGTCTCCAGTACCAGCTTTCCAGTTTGGTGTTTGTTTGAATATCTTTGATGGGGACCAAACAAAGCCCTTCTCTCTCCTTGGATTGGATAGAAAGAAATTTTTTTCCTTGGCAAGTTGGGTTGGGTTGGTTCTGTACTGGGTAAGAGCAGTGTGAATAGGTCCAATTATGATACACTAACATTGGTTTTGATGCACCTCGTTCTATAATTTTTGATAAGTTGAATCACATTTCACATTTTGTATTAAGTAATCTTTCTCCCTTCTTTTTTTTTCTTTTCTTTTAATTACATTAGATGGCAAATAGAATCAGTTGTTGCACTAGTAAGAGCAACTCCAACGTAGTTAAAATATAAAAAAGATAAGTCTTTTTGTTTTTTTCCCTAGTTACTTTTTTATTTATGTGGTTCAATGTTACTCTTTATTTTACTTATTTATCTACATAATATATTTAAAAAGTTTTCCAAAACTCTTGAAGTGTAATTAGGCTAGAAGATTTTTTTTAAATAACTATTGTAATAGATGTCCGTTCAAGAGAGGAAAATAAGAAAATAAGATGAAATTAGTTATAATAGTCAATATGTCTTTTTTTAAAGAATTTGTTGGAAATGCTCTAATTAATCGGATAAGTAGAGTTAATGAAAGTGACTGTTTATTTAAAAAAGAGGAGTGATGGAGATCCTCTCCAATCATTACCTCCACCACCCCTCCCTCTACACACACGTGATAGGTGGTGATTGGAGGATAAGGGAAACAAAATAAAACAAAAAAGAAAATCCAATTAATGAGAGAGAGAGGGAGTGGATCAAAGGGGTGGGAAAAAAAAAGAGGGGGTTTTAGACATTTTTGTTTAAAAAAATGTTTCTCTTTTTCACCAAGCAAAAGAATGGGTGTAATTAATAATAAGTTTCTTCACAAGTGGTAAATTAGTTTTTTGAGAATTGTTTTTATTTTTTTGTACTTTTTTATTTTTACTAATTTTTTTTAATATTTAAGAATTTTTTTTTTCTACTTTTGTAGATGCATCTAATCTTTGATGAATCTAAAAAATAAAATATTTGTGAAAAAGTATTTTAAAATTTTAATAAATACAAAACTGTACTGATTTTTTTTTTTGTTTGTATTTTTCATATTTATTGAATTTTTAAATTTTTTTTTCTTTTCACGAATCTGACTACTTTTTTTTATTAATAGATAAAAGAGTAATTATAAATATAAAAAATATTTATATCATCAAATAAATCACAAACTCACGATAGCTAGTTAAAAAGTCAACAAAGTGTAACAATTAATAAACGAACCAGCCCAAGCCCAACACAACTACTATTAGTTACATAAGCTCACTAATAGGGAAGAAATAAATGGGCAATTAACCCTTTTGGTTATTTTTATTCACAAATTAAATAATTAGGTTGCTAAATACCTTTTATGTTGAAATTTAAAAAAATAATAATAATTAAGAAAGCGTATTTACGTTTTCATCATAATTTTTTTTAAGAGAAATTTATGAGAAAATCTTTTTTCAAATACTTGTATTCTAATTAGTCTATAACAAATTTTCATATTCTAATAAGTCTTATTATTTGAACATTTGATTCATCAAATCTTAATTCTCATATTTATGATATTTTATGGACAATTTTACCCTTACAAATATTTTTTGAACGCTTAACAATTTAGTGATATGAACATTCATATTATACAGTGTGAATATTCGCATTGATGTGTGAATGTTCATATCACAAAACATTCACGTTGTTAATGTGAATATTATTATTAGGGATATTTTGGTAAGTATGTCACCTATAATACTTATTGGAATATAAGAAAAATAATTTAGATTTAATGGAACATAAATAGATATAGAAGGATTTATGAAAAAATGTCCCTTTTTTAAATAATTAAATACAAAACTGAAACGTATTTTGTAAATATATTTTCATCATAAATTTTTTGTTAAAATAATTAATAGAAAGCATGTTGAAATAGAAAGGGTATTTTGTAAATACAATTTTATTTTTAAAAAAATATTTAATAGCGTTGAAATAGAAAGTTTATTTTGTAAATACTTTTTTTTTTAATTTACAGCATACACTTTCAATATAATTTTTTTAAAATAAAACGTGTTTTCTGTCAAATAAATCTTTTATTTATGTTAAAAACACGCTTTTAGTTTATTTTTACTAGCATATCACCCGTGCTATGCACAGATTATGCTTACAATTATCTATATATATGAATTGCAATTTTTAAATATCTTTTTTTTTTTTTCTTAAATATCTTCTTTTTTTCCTTTTTTATATTATATTAATATATATATATGTATTAAAATTGTATTGACAAAACACACTTTCAACATAATTTTTTTAAAAACATTTTTATCATTTTATTATCATTGCTTTGAACATAAGTTTTTGTCGATTCCATATTGAAAGCGCATTTTAAAATTATTTTTGGTAATAGTTGCAGCATTTTATTACCGTTGTTTTCAACCCAACGAAAACGTATAAAAGAAAAAAAATAATAAATTTCAGTTTTGAGAAAAGGAAAGAGAACGATCAAAAAAATTAATAAAAATTATTGTAATGATGAAATTTTTTTTATCAACAGCAGTAAAAAACAGAAACAGAGCGATGAAAGAAAAGAAACCCCTAAAATCTAAAACGGTGAAAAAAATATATATAATAAAAACGTACTTATAAGATATGTTTTTAGTTTTTTATTTGAATTTTTTAAAAAAATAAAATAAAATTATGATGAAAACGTAATAAACGTTTTGTCCCATTTCGAGAATTAAATTTCAAAACAATCTAATTATTTAATTTGTGAATAATAAAAAATCGAAAAGGATTAATAGTCTGAAATAAACCACCACAAAAAGTATCAAACTCCTCTTCATATGAGTTGAATTCGAGATATTACACCACAAAGAGTGTTACATAATTACTAGGCCAAATGTAGAAAACATCAATCCTGACGAAAGGTTTAAAAAAGTTTTTAAAAAAAAAATAAATTACTTAACATGGCTCAACATCCCATAATTGAAACCCATTTTGTTATCCCCCTACATAGATCAATTGCTATGCTACAACAAAACATGATTTAGTCACTCGAAAATTTGTGTCCCACTATAATGCATATGTCCACTCTTGGTTGTTAAATCTCTCTCTCACCTTGGCACATCCGGTTTCATTTGGCAATGACACATTCTAGTTAAAATAAATAAATAAATAAATAAAATCATTAAAAAAATCATATAAATAAATTAAAGAACTCTTCTTTCTTTTTTCTTTTTTTTTTTCAAAACTATAAGATATTAATTTATTACTAAAATTAAATTATAACTAAAAAAATCACCGCTATTTCACCAGCTCTAACCTCTGACCTTCCCTCAGCACACTTAAAATGCAAAAAAAACCCAAAAAACTAAACACTTTTTTTCTCCTCATTTTACCCAAAAAGCCACTACGGACAAGGGTAGTGAACAAGTACAGAAAACATTTAAAATCTTGGGTAAATACACTGACACTCCTGAAATTTATATTTATTATAATTCTTCCGCTCACTTTTTAAAAATTACGTCTCTTTTCCTAAGATTTAAAGTTTCATTACAAATTCTCCTCTCAATAATTTAATTTTTTTAAATATCAATTTTGTCCTCACTGGGTAAATTACATTGACACCTCTCATATTTTAGAAATTATAATCACCTCCTTAAGGTTTAAAGTAGCATTATCAATAACCCCTCAGTTAGTATTAATTGAAAAAAAAAATCATTAAAAAAAAATTAATTGAAAAAAAAATTATTAAAAAAAAATTATGTTAGTAAAATTTTTAAATTTCTGTTTAAAAACCAACTTAAACTCATTTTTTGAATTAATATTTATTTTTTTCAAATTCACAAACTGAGACAACAATTTATAAATCAAAAAAATTATCAAACACGTTTTTACGACAGCTTTTAAAATTTTTGTAAATATAAATTAAAAACTGAAAACGAAATGGTTACCAAATAGGTTTCAGATGGTAAAAATGTCAGAAAATTAACAAATAATTAAATAAGTTACCAACGTAAGAAATGACTTATCAAATGATTTTTAGGCTCCAGAAACTGTAGACCCGACTTTCTTCACGCGCCCCCCTTTCGGATAGGGCGCGAATTGGTCTTTCTACAGTTCGGACTCATGTCACGGTTCTGAATCTAATCTCACAAAGTGTAATGTGAGACTAATAAACACCAAAAAGTCCAAATCTGGCAATTGGTTTTGGAAAATCAATTTTGAATAAAAAAGCGCCAAACATGGACTACTTTGCCAGATTACAGAGTCGCCACCTAAATATTTTATTTTAGAAAATTTAGGAAACCCTGACTCGTGCCAAAGGCCACGTATCCGTCATCACTAAAGTTGCCTTGGCTTAGGAACTTGGGTACGAGCGGGGGTGTATGGTTTGATTTTTAGATTGCTTTTTAAAAAAATTAAAAATTAATTTGGTTAAGAAATAAAAAAATATATATCATTTAAGGGTAAAAAATAATTATCATTTTAACTTTTGGGCAGGATATATACATACGTATGGCTGTTTCAATTTAATTTGTAAAAAATTATTTCTAACCACTCGAAAGATAAAAATTATATAAAAATGATAATTATTTTTTATTTTTTATTTCTTAACCAAATTAATTTTTAATTTTTAATATTTTTTCTAAAAATCAAACCATACATAGCCTAAGAATCTTTTGATAAGTCATTTCTTACGTTGGTAACTTATTTAATTATTTGTTAATTTTACGACATTTTTACCATCTGAAGCATGTTTAGTAACTATTTCGTTTTCAATTTTCAATTTTCAATTTTCAATTTATATTTACAAAATTTTTAAAAACTGTTATAAAAATTTGCTTGATAATTTTTTTTGTTTATAAATAGTTGTCTCAGTTTGTAAATTTGAGGAAAAAACATAAATTCAAAAAATGAATTTACGTTGGTTTTTAAACAGAAATTTAAAAAATTTACTAACAAAATTTTTTTTCAAATAATTTTTTTTTTCAATGAATTTTTTTTTTTTTTCCACCTAATACTAACCGATGAGGCAATTGGTAATGCTACTTTAAACCTTAGGAAGGAGATTGTAATTTTTAAAACGCGAGGGGTGTTAATATAATTTACCCAGTGAGTGCAAAATTAATATTTAAAAAAATTTAATTGTTGAGGAGAATCTGTAATTAAACTTTAAACCTCAAGGAGGGAGACATAATTTCCAAAAGATGAGGGGAAAAACTGTAATAAACATATAATTTACCCTAAAATCTTTTTCTGCATTTATTAGCTTGAGTGAAGAAAGAAAAATAAAAAAATAATAATTATCTTCATATATAACTCAGATCAACATGATATTTTAACTAATAGATTTCTTATGGTGAAAAACTACAATGGTCGAAAAAATCTGATGTTCAAAAGAGAGGGAGCCAAAGTAGTTGTACCTTAGATTTCTTAAATAAGGTTTGATATTCAAGTGTATGGAAAAACATTAAACACCTAGCGGTGTTAACCTAATTTACTAACTCGCTAACATTCTATAAACAGAAATTAAAATCACCACCAGATTGCAATTGTTGATCCATCTCAACAAATACAGGATGGTTAGGAATGCACGTTCCATCCTCATTCTTCCTAGACACAGATGTTTTTCCTCCATAGAATTCAAGGAGAAACCAAAAAACAAACAAGACATTATGGAAAGTTCCAAATTGCAGCAACTGAAGCAACTTTACATAAGTTGGAGTCAATCTAAATTATTGCTTCATACCATAAAATAACACCATATCAAGTGCATCCAGATTCCAACATTTCATATTCTAACCAAAATATTTGCAATCTCCATATAACTCTTTAAAGCACAGGTGTTACCAGAAGTTGCATCATGTAACAATGAGACTCTTAACTGTGCATCCATGTATATCATACAACTACCACCGTTTCAGTCAGACTATTCCATGGTTGTTAATGTTAAATTAGTATCCTTGCATCCTAATCACCTGAATAAACAAGCATCTCAGGGGAATATATTTGAACCCCAAGACCCCCCGCCCAAAGAAAAAAATACCAGAAATGAAAGCTGGGATTATTTGAGTAGCGGAAGATGAAAAACCAAGAATGATTAAGAGAAAAACCAAAAATTCTAATTAGAAATCCACTTCCAAAGTCGAGGAATCCTCAGATGGTGCACTTTTCATATATGCAATTCTCTGCCAAATTGCTTGGCCAGTTAGACTAAGAAGCAGATACAGAATAAACCACACAGACACTGAAGAAACTCAGAGCAACTGAATTATATGTCTATTCATCACCAGAGTCTCCATTTGCCCCCTTGAGATGCAAGTGCTTTTCCCTCTTCTGAAAATCTGTCAAACCTTTCCCACTTCCAGTCACTCCAACTTTCCCATTTGGATCTTCAGGGGACTTAAATATGCTCTCCTTCTTGCGACCGGAGAAAAAACCAATCTGGGAATTTAGAAAATAAATTAGGCACGGCTTTCAAAATTAGAAAAGAAAAAAACCTTACGGCCAGAAAGTTCAATAAAAATATGAAATATCTGCTTGAATGCTGTTTGCCTCACAAGAGGGCTATTGAGATTTTCCATGTGTAGTGAGAGCACAGATTATGCAATTTTCCCCCATATACATCATGGAAAAGCACATTAATTTTCAGTTGAGAACTAAACTTAACGTGCATCTAAAACATATCTTTGCATACATACAGACAAGGATATATTACAGATTACCATGTAGACATGGAATTTTTATTGAATCACATGCCACATTAGATTCCAATGCCTCACAAACTTATTTTGATATATGGCATTCAAATAATAAAAACATGCCCAGGAAATCATTTTGCACTGGCATGAAGTTACACTAATCAACTTATAGCTCATACATAAGATGGATCACACTTAAGATGAATTGATTGGAAAGATAAAATGTAAGCTCATATGATATGCTACTCAAATTCTCTAATCAGATGCTATTTATTAACAATAAATAAATGAGAAGGCTCAGATAGGCAAGCCATATCCCACAAATGACTATAGTTGTAAGCCGACAATACTAAGGAACAGTGATGAAATGTTAGAGGATTGAATAAGTTTAAAGAAAAGTAAGGCCAAGCACTCAATATAAATGATGCATAGCTAACAAAACTAGTGATAAAACAAGAAAGTAGTTAGACTTGAATATTGATGAACAAGATATATGAAATATTGACTATTTATGTTATTTGAACTCTGTTCTACGTGCCGGCTCACTACTTTGCTTTGTGCAGTAGTTGTAGCGTCACTCCTCAAACATAGGCAGACAAACATTGGGGCAAGTGGGGAAAATCCCCCACTGAAATTTGAAATTTTTATATAGTCCCCTGGGGAAGAATGGAGCATGTGGGGAGCAATTTGCCCCCATTGATTATGACTTTGCCTGCTCTCAAACATGACCATATATTCATATCTATGTTTCGAGTGCCTCTTAATTTTGTTTCACTAGGGACCCTTTACTATTCATTGAGTTTGTGCATTGATGTCTAAGTTATTTAAGTAATTGGAATAACATGAATAAACACACACAAATTTGGTTGGTCCCTGGGTTTTTTTTTTTTTTTTTTTTTAATGTAGTGTTTATTTCTCGATTTGTTGTTTTATTTTATGGGGATCTATTTAGGTTGTAAGCCCTAATTTTATCTTCTCGAATCAAAAATGTATTTCTCAATTGTCAATTAGGAAGGCAAAATTTTGCCCCCAATGAACAAGAATATTGGCTCCGCCCTTGCTCAAGCATGCATGGGTTCAAGTCTAAGAAGAGCAACTTCATTTGCATAAAGCTAGAGGGTCTGTGAGGGCTTGCCCCCAAATTTATTTTACATGTTGTCCTTCAAAGTGTGTATTATAGAATTTCCCCTCTTATTATATTTAACAAATTACATTATATATAGATAAATTTACATATAAAAGTTAATTGTTTAATATACTCAGGGAGGGGATGGGAGAAATGGGGTGGGGAAAGCAAATTGCCATCCCTAGCTAATCTGAGGCAAACTAAACATGACGGAACAACTGGGACTATAATCCAAATAAAAATGTCTAGTAACTTCTAAAATTGAAAGTTGAACTATCTGCCATTCAATTGTCCCATATGAAAAACACTCTAGCGAAACAATGGTTGTCACAGAAAGCCACGGTGACGGATTGAGGCACTGTAATTAATGACTTTGAATACAATAATATGCGACATCAGTTTGGAAATTTAATAGCATAGTTCACTTCTGTTTTAAAAGACAATGCATTATATCATGTTTGTAAATGGATGAGTAGTTATATGACCTCCATAACAATTGAAGGTTTTATGAAAGATTACAATAGTTCATTTTGCAAGTTCAAAAAAGGTCATGGAGGATACCTTCTTAGCTCGGCCTTTGTTTGTCTGGAATTGCTGCCAAGCATTTTGTCTTTTATTCTGTGTGACTTCAAGTTGCTCCAGTCGCATCTTTGACTTAAAAGCATGTATCTTCTTACGTTTGGTAGCTTTCTGTAAATAATAGGGCTCACAAATGTCAATAAAAACTAAAAAAGAAAAGAAATTAAGCAAAACAATAATGAAAAAAGCTGGATTCCAAAAATGGTCTACCAACCAGGAAAATAAGAAAATAAATTTTCTTGGAGTGAGTAGATAGGAACAATTGAAGGAAAGTATAAATGGGAAACAACAAATTAGACTCTCTCTTTTGTCAAGTTATACGGTAATATTGGGATTTTGGAATCTGATAAACCAGGCAGCTTATTCAAAATCAACATACTTACCACATCTTCAGGGTCGTTAGGATCTATACGAAGCTTTTCTGGTAAAGTTCGTGACTGGAAGTCTGAGGCAGCAGCTTGCGCAATTTTCCGCTTGATATCTTGTTTGGTGGCTTCAGCTACCTTCTCAGCTTCCAGCAAAGCATTGACAACCCCTTCTTCAACTGGCCTAACGTTAGCAGGATCCACCTGAATTTATTGCAGTTAGTACCATATTAAGAAGCATAAACACTTCTAAAAATGTGACGTATCTAAGGACTTATCGTGAAAACTGTCCTATTAATTTTTATTTTATTTTTTAATTTTATAGAACCGGGCATTCTTCAAACAATTGGGAACACACATGCCCATCACTTAGACACACATAAAATACATTGATAGTTTGAATACAATAACTTGAAAGCTAGTGATTAAATTCGATACAATGTTGATTTACAAGACAATATAGACGTATACCAATTAATTCTTTTACTTCAGACATTTTATTTTTAGGAACTCAAAAGCTCAAAACTTGCAGTTTGTTTGTGAACGAAGTTAAAAGATATATTGGGACATTTTGATCACACTTCTTTTTTTTCAAATATAGAGAATGTCAAAAAAAAATTTCTTACTGTTTCAATATGGTAAAATATCAGCGTATCTGTATCGTGTCATAATCTGTGTCCAATGTCTATATCTATGGCTCTTAGGTAGGTGATAATTGTGATGACAACAGGTAAAATAAATAGACGGTGAAGAAAGTTGGTAGCCAAGTAATGCTGTTGACCCCCTTATAGATTGGATCCATTGCCGGGAGCCTTGGAAGTAATGTCGTTTCCACTCAGTATGTTTAGACAAAATATTTCTCTGAAAATATGGCAAATATTATCTGGTGTTTGTGTCAGTGTTACCTGAAAACGCTGATAACCTAGTCAATTATGTTTTTTTTTTTTTTTTTTTAACGTTCCGAACCATGGTACACTTTCATTCCAAAATGGTATTTAGCGATCCAAAATGATCCCAAAAGGTTTTTCAATATATTTCTTTGTATCAAATATAATAAATTAAAATCTAAGGTGAGTGAAGTTTTTGTGAAGCGAAATCCCACATCGCCCAAGTACTAAAATAATGTCAAGCATATAAGCGTGAGGCACCCTCACCTCTTGAGCTAGCTTTTGGGGTTAAGTTCTACCCAAGACCGTGTTAAAGCCGAAGCACTTAGGGATAGGTAGGGTGTGTGTCCCTAGCCTGCATGTCGCAGGTGCTGCCGAGTGAACACGTTGGACGTGAAGCGAAATCCCACATCACCTAAGTAGTAAAATAATGTAAAGCATATAAGCGTGAGAGCCTAAGAAGCATGGACACGGACATGTCGACACTCCAATTTTCAAAAAATACAGGACACGACACATAGGTACACGCATAAAATATATAATTCTATATATTTATTATATGTTATATATATAGATATATCATTCAAAGATAATGAAAGATGCAATATGATACTAATTCCTATAAATATATATAGTTTTTGTTTTATTTTGTATCTTAAATTGTTTTGTTCAAACTTAAAATTAGTTTCACCTTTGTCTAATTGATAGACACGTGTGTTTAAGTGATAAATACGTGTGTCTTCCAAGTGTCCAAAGAGTGTCCGAATCTTAAAAAAAAATTAAAAATAGGAAACGTTTTGAAGAGTGTCGAAAACGTGTCGGGGAAGTGTCTGAAGAGTGTCGGTATCCAACACGGGACAAAACACAGATACATCACCTTCTTAGAAGTGTCCGTACTTCTTAGCTGAGGGGACCCTCACCTCTTAAGCTAGCTTTTGGGGTTGAGTTCCACCTAAGATTGCGTAATAGTTTTAACAAGGCAAAACGTCATAAATAGGTCACAATGACCATAGAAATGTATTGTTAGATGATTAATTTGGAAAAAGAACCACATTCTGTTAGATATCTAATTGTTAAAATAAATTACTCAAAAGTACCTTAAATTCTTGTAGTGTAAACTATACAAGTCCACCCCTATCATACCATAATTCAGAACATGTTGTGTACCCTGCATTCCCGTTCCACATACTGGAACGATCCACGTTCCAAGTAACATAGGTTTGTGTAAACAAAGTCATAAAAAAAAATATATATATATATATTTACATCAAATAGTTGGAATATAACTACGCAGTCCAACTTTGGTATGTCATTTTCCAAACAAATTTCATGATGCTGGGGTCTCAACCCATCCTTTCAACCCCAAGCGAACAAGAGAGAGAGAGAGAGAGAGAGAGAGAGAGAGAGAGGGCAACAGAGTTCCTCTGATTTTAATCAATTGTTAATATTATTTAAAAGGTGTAGTTTGATTTCATTTCTTTAGGCTGGTGGTTTTCCTGAGTTTCCTTGGTTTTGGTGATTTGTATGGATTTTGATTGTTTTAAATAAATTCTATTCAAATTAAAGCACAATGTCATAGTTACCAATGTCGCTTTGAAGTTTCTATGATTGTAAAACTGACTTGGGATTATGTGATGCAATTATAACCCTAGGTGTGATGCCTATGGTAATAAAGGTGCGAATCTTGATGCCCACAGTTCTGCTTCATCTTCTCTTTCTCATTTTCTACAATCGTAAGCCTTTTAAAGCCCTCAATCAAATCTACTCAACCTTCATTTTTACCCTTAAATTCCCAATTAGCAAATCTATTTCCATTATACAACTATAGCACTTCAAACACAAAATCTGCAAAAAGTCCCTATTCTCAGGTACTTTTTTGGGGGCAAGTACTATTCTCAGGTGTTGCCAATGAACTAAGCTCCAAATTTTCTTGCTTCATAATGGCCCCACCACTATTTTTTTAGTTCCATACAAAACCTTCATGCTATATATTTTAACGATCTTTGTCCACAAAAACTAGATATCAATCAGCCTTATAGAAAAGCCCTCCACTGCTGCCCTAAATCAATTTTGATGGTGTAGCTTGTAAAGAGTGTTCCCCACACTCATCTTACATCAAAACAACTTGAAGGAATCCTAAAATTAAAGTTTCACTTCTTTGAATTAACTTTTCGTTTATATTTTCATGGCTTATATAACAGTGATTCAATGAAGATGGTAGGTGAAGGAGGAAGGGATGAAGCAGGAAAATAAACATTAAATGATTTGATTAATTAATATTATTATGGTTCAAGAGAGAAACTAACAATATCTACTCTAACACTATAGTGGAAGTGTGTTGAATCAAGGGCAGACAGTAAGCATTTATTATGGATGCTTTATTTTGTCTCCACTTAGAGAGAGAGAGAGAGAGAGAGTGATCACATTCTCTTTCTTATGTCACTCAATGAGATTACATTTCCATTGTTCTAATACTACTAAGAACTCACTCTACTTTCCGAAGACTTGAACAAGAGTCAAAAGTTTTTAGAGAGATGTGGTCTAAACCACTGGTATGTCCATCAAGATTCTAATCACTACATGATAGATTAATTTGAAGAAAAAAAATCAGTAACTATGACCAAATCAGTTTGTTGTTTATAGAAAATAATAATAATAATAATAATAATTAATGTTTCACTTTTAAATTGTTAATGTTTCACTTTTAAATTGTTAATTATGATCAAATCAACTTAAATCAGTGTGAACTTCTACCAAATTTAGTTTGATTTGTACAAGTAATAAGAGTTAGAAAGATGTGATTTTCCCGTACATTTTCCCATTCCAAAGCAATAAAGGGGAAAAAATGGTAAATACGATATCATAAAATTAACATATCACAAAATAAATAACACCTTGACCAAAATTAAAGCAAACTAGGATAAATGAAATCTGGAAAGAGGATGCACTTGAAAAGTAGAACACAACAAAAATCATACCTCTTCTTTATTACCCCACCCATCATAGCAAACAAAATAACCATTTGGAGTAATTGCCTCAATTGTCGCATCATACCTGCACATTCAACTAATCAAACACAGAAAAGAAGAGGAAAAAGGTAAAGCATACGAAAATGAAAAAAATAAACGTGGAAAGTTTGTTGTTTATCTCTAATCATTTTTTTTTGAAGTAACGTACCACTCCCCATCATCACTCCAAACTGCTTGAACTTTGGTGCCAACAGGAAACCTGTCAGAAAGGTCAGACATGCTTCTTGGTTCCTGATTGATAAAAGAGGGAGAAAAACAAAATATGAGCTCCAATATATGTGTCCAACCAAGACAAGGAAAGAAGCAGACAGACAGAAAGGTGGGGGGCAGGGAATGACATCATGTGCCTCACTCTTGAAAAAAAAACTAAATTAGTCATTGGACAAGCAACTTCTTCAAATCAGGACGAGGATAAAAGGATATCTTGTGCTGAGTTGTACAAATGAGCAAATGCGAAAAACATAAAAAATTCAAGGCAGTGTATCATTTTTTATGTACATATAAGCCAAATACAAAGAGCAATAACAAGATAGCAGAAGATAAGGAACAGAACAGCCATACATACAAGCCATTATGCACATGATCCAACTGCTATATCACCACAAATGGTGCACATAAAATTTTTACATGCTACAAAAGCAGTGTCTCATGCATTTAATGAGAAAGCTCAGAGTTTCTAGTTGGCACACCATTTTCAAGGTGCCACATTACATGCAGTATAACAGAAGAATATCATGTGAAACAAAATTAGTTTCCCCCAAAAAAAGGCTTGCTTCAATGGGTGATTTGGGGTGTTTGAGCCTGTCTCTGAAGATTTTCCTACTGCCTTTTGTGTTTGAGGCTTATTTTTTCTTTAGAGAAGATTCCTCATCTCTCCTGTACAATTTCTTCTCAGCCTCATCAAATTCTCATATAAAAAAATATAAAATAAAATTAAAAAAAAAAATCATTTTCTATCATATAAGGGAGAGAAGGTTCGAATGATTAAAGAAAATTGGCAAAAAAGTAAACTATTGCCTTTAGGCCCACTGAAATTCTATCATATATGAATGACACAAAAATTGTTTCCAGTTGTCCAAACTCAGTCTAAGCACCCATTTGGGAACTTGACTTTTTTAATGACTTTTTGGCCTTCTTATGAGATGAAAAAAGTTAATGTGTTTGGAATGGTTTTTTTTAGTTAAATAGATAATTGTGAGGGAAAAAGTGATTGATGTGTATGACGTGACATTTTGCTAATGGGGTCGAATTTGTTGGCTTTTCAACTTTTTTAGCCAAAAAGCCTCTTTCGAAACGGGCCTTAAATAAAAAAGGTTGTGTTCCATCTAAATGACTTGAAAACTATTCCTACGTAAAGCTATTGAAACTCGTGGGAATCTAACTCCACATGCATTCCAAATATCTATTGCCTGAAGCACACTGCTTCTCATCAAATATTTTACTTTTTCCTATGCTAAAGTAGATCACCTTCATAGACCATAGAGTAAATGTCCCACGAAACTCAGACAAACAAAATTAATCAACTTACAGGAAGAGACAATATACGGATACTTTTAAATATATTTACTTTATCATGCTCAGAGGAACCCCAGGCATTGTTCAAACTGGGAGATGCATAATCAGCTATCCCAATATTCAATACAGAATTCTCACTTTGCTTTGCAGTTGCCAAGAGTTCTTCTGTCAAAGAAATCACCTGCATGCCCAAGAATTTAGCGAAATCCTTCAAAATAATAATAATTATTTATAAAGATCAGACTATAGTACAATATCAACTTAGAATCTCAGTGTCAAAATCTGAAATCAGGACAGACGAGGCAGGCTGGCCATCACGACACATAGCACACCTGCACAGGAACCAATATAGAAGTGATGGACATCTTGATGAAGTATCTAGCTTGAATAATTTTGTAAATTCTCCATAGTGTTCCCATTTCCGGGTTTATGAATTTCATTTTAACATTAGCATCCTCACCTCTTGAACTCGAGAAAGAAGCAATCCTCTCTAGTCATGGGCACTTGTTATGAAGAAAAGATAATTAATTGTGAGAGATAGAAAGGGTAGGGAGGGGGAAGATAAAAAGTCGCACTGAGAAGTTAGAAAACCAAATGATCACCTATAGTCAAATCTGAGAGCCCTTTATGCATGAAGGGAGCAAACTCTGTTTCCCCGAAACAGATGTTCAGATACCAACTCCACATGACAAACTAGAGAGGTTCAATCCTATACATTTCATGATAGGAACTGAATGAAATACCCAAGAAAGACATCTCTATAAGATAAAGTAAGGAAAGGAGAGAAATGAGAATAAATTGAATATTGATCACCTCTGCAAGCTCCTTTTCCATGTCCACATATTCAGAGTTTCCAGGGTCATCATCCAAAAGCTTTCTAACCTGATGCATAGGCAGGGAAGAAGTAAATGTTACAAAGAGATATATGCAAGAAGAATAGAGAGCACACGTAATTCAATCCCGAATTACAACTAGGTCGCATAAACATCTGTACGGTTAAGGGATAGGCACATAACACAACTAACTTCAACACAAACCCACAACTCTGACAAAGGAAAAACATCACAAACAAATGGATCATATTGATTAAACTGTGAAATCAATTATAGGCCCGTGCCCATAAGTATATACCGTACAGAGACTTCATTCTAGAGCAGGGTAGGAATGATGAAATTTGTGAAAATTCAAAGTCGATGGGATCCCAAAATTTGGCAACATATTTGGCACCTCCTACATTCAAGATGCTTTCCAAAGTCGACGCATCATAGTTTACTATTGAATAATTCCATATTTATGCCATGCTTTACCAAAGAAAGATTACAGAAACAGATCATGCATAGGTACTTTAATTGCTGCACACTATCACTTAAACAACCAGTAAAAACTGCTTTACTTCAATTTTTGAGTTAGTTGTGGAATGCCATTTGGGGAAATACTATTTATAATTTTGTATACTTTTAATTTCTGTTTTGGTTTTGGTGGTGTTAAGAAAATCATTTCACATAACACATTCCAACAAACTTGAATTTCTTCAAGAATTTCTAAGTGCATTCTACAAAGCTTGAAGCAAAGTTATGACCAATAAGACCTTTTTATTTAAGCTTCAAGACCATACAACCCCTCACCCCCCACCCCGGCACACATCTTTTACTTGAAACTATCTCCAGGAACCATTAGCCTAGAAGCCCAAGAAAAATTCAATGAACATTATCAACTTTCATTCTAGCTTTTAAGATACCACAAAACATGACAGTGCCACATGATGAATTAAAAATTGTCACCATCATGCAAATGAGTTATAAAGAGTGGTTGAAACTTGAAATACCTTTTGGTTAGTAAACCATTCAACAGACATGTTCCAATCCAACAAATTTTCACCAATATGAATTATCATACCCCATATTAGCAAGCCCCAAACTTCGGCTTCAAAAAGGGGCCCGCCCAGGTGAATCAAGACTACATACTAATAAGCACCACAATTCAGTATCTAAAGAACCCAAAAGCTTCCAAAATGCCCTAATTACAAGAAACATCATCAAGACTCCATCAATTAAAACAAACCCTAGAGATATATATCTCAGATGAATAGACGGATTTCAAGAAGCTCTCAGTTTCATTAATTACGAGTTCAAAAAATGCAAAGCGTGAAATTTCAGTAACTAAAGAACCCAAAAGCTTCCAAAATGCCCTAATTACAAGAAACATCATCAAGACTTGAACAATTCAAACAAACCCTAAAAACATATATCTCAGTTGAATTGACAGGGACTTCAATAAGCTCTCAACTTCATTAATTAAGAGTTCAAACAATGCAAAGGCTGAAAATTTCACATCACAGAAACTCATAACACTGAACTAAAACAACACACAAAATTGAAATTTCAGGAAAAAGGGTGTTCAAAAAACAAGCCAATTCACCACAAAATTGAGAAGGCATGGTATGATAAACTTGAAGAGAAGGCCACGTACGTATCCAAAGACATAATAAACTAGAGAGAGAAAGAGAGAGTACCTGTTGAAGTTGGTCTTTGTAAGTGGAGAGATTTGAAGCAAGTTCTTCTATGCTGAGCTCTTCGGAGCCGCCGCCTTGCATGTTGTAAATGGTGTTTATTGAATTTTTGATGAATCAATTTCTCAGATGTTTGATTATTCGATTCAAATGGATTTCTACACACAAAAAATAAACTCTCTGTGATATATATATATATATATAGAGAGAGACAGAGAACAATGTCGATGAAGTATCGGGATGATCCGTGGAGAGAGAACAACTCAAAGGAAAAAAACCCTTACGCTATTTAGGCTTGGTTTGGGAAGTAGGTTGGCTTTTTGGCTTTTTGGCTTTTTTGGCTATTTTAGCCTGGGCTAAAAAGCTTGGTTTGGGAAGGGCTTTTTAGCTTTTTGGCTTTTTTGACTTTTTTTGTGAGAGAAGAATGTAATGATTATAGGTTGGATGTGATGTTTTGTTTGTTATGGCTAAAATAGCCTATTTTGTTTTTTGTGGCTAAAATAGCCAAAAAAGCCTGAAAACCATCTTGCCAAACAGAGGCTTATTCATTTTTTATTTTATTTTTTTTAGGGGGGTAAATTTTAATTTTTGAGGGAGTAAAGTATTAAATTAATGATAAATTTTATAGATTTTAATTAGGGAGCTTTTTTGATAAATCCATTTTTTAGGAGCTTTATTCCATCCAATCCATATTCTTTTTGACTATTCCATTAGGTCCAATTTGAGATAAGAAGACCAAAATACCCTTTTCATTTACTTATATTCAATTTAGTTCACATTATTTTCTTATGTTTCAATAAGTTCTATGGGTGACATAATTACCAAAATACCCTTAATGTGAATGTTCACACTGTCAATATAAATGTTTATATTGTCAATGTGTAGGGGCCCGGCTCATGTCGATCCTCGTGGGTGCCCGAAAAAATTCGAGTCTGGCCGGGCCGGCCCACAAGCCAAAAAAGTAGGCCCGACCCGGCCCGTTGATAATATGAATATTCAAATTGACAAGTTAACATTCACATTGATAGGAGTGTAAAATTGGCCTGCGGCCCGTGGGTGGCCCGAAACCAGCCCGTCGCCCGGGGCGGGCCCGAGCCAGCCCGTTCACAATATGAATATTCACATTGACATATTAACAATAACATTAACATTGACAAGAGTGTAAAATTGGCCCATGACCCGTGGGCAGCCCGAAGCCCGGGCCCGGGTCGGGGTAGGCCCGGCCCGGCCCGGCCCGTTGACAATGTGAATATTCACATTAACATGTTAACAATAACATTAACATTGACAAGAGTGTAAAATTGGCCCATGACCCGTGGGCAGCCGGAAACTCGGGCGGGGGTCGGGGTCGGGGTGGGCCCGGCCCAGCCCGTTGACAATGTGAATATTCACATTGACATATTAACAATAACATTAACATTGACAAGAGTGTAAAATTGGCCCATGACCCGTGGGCAGCCCGAAGCCCAGG